ATCCTTGGGGTCACATTCGATAGCATGTTCAAGTCTTTCGCGCAAGCCACAGCTATTTGCGATAAAATGAAAAGTAGGAACAAGGTCCTCAAGGCGCTAGCCGGCAGCACTTGGGGTGCGGATAAGGAAACCTTGTTGACCTCTTATAAAGCGATAGGTCGGTCTGTGGTTAGCTATGCGGCTCCAGTGTGGTCGGCGAATACAAGTGCAACGCAGTGGAAAAGTATTCAGACCTGCCAGAATGCCGCCCTGAGAACTGCTCCTCATGACTCCTGTGGACCATTTACATGAGGAGACGAAGGTTCTTCCCTTACGTCAGCATAATCATATGCTTTCGTTGCAGTACCTGCTTGGGTGTTATCGTGGAAGTCACCCTAACCACCATATGGTGGATAGAACCCAGGCGTGTCAGGAAGGACCTGCACGATCTAAAGAGAGAGATCCAGCGATATAAGAGAGAGCCTCTAGATCATGAAGCCTATCAAGCGGGTCTGAATAGCATTCATACTGATGCAGTCACAGAGGTAGTTAATAATTACAGTATGAATCAGAGGGCTGCAACGAGTATGCAAAAATTCAAGCATACTCGGTTTCTTACCTGATTTTTGTTGATGCAGTCGTTTAGTTTGATCTGAATGAAATGACCGTTTTCGCTTCGGATCGAATCGAACGCTCAGTTTGAATCACTTCACTCACAATCAAACATGAGCGTTCGAGACGGTTTGATGTGTTCAGCAACGTGAGTTGATCGAACACATGAATGTAAATGAGCAATCACAACCGTGATTGTCTTCTTTGAATCGAGTTCGCTCAGCGTCATTGTTTATTCAACCATTTAATCAAGTTAGGACAGTTTATTTTGACTTTTTTAATATTTGAAATGGAAGAATATTGTGATAGTGCGAACGAAATTGTTGCAAGTAGAAACTACACAGGTGTAGGTAAACGAAGAGGTCGAAGTTTGTGAAAAATCTTGACCAATATTGTAAAATAAAAAAAATATTTAAACATTTTTAGTTTTCTAAATACCAATGATGTGTTTCTTTATTAAAAAATTTAATTTTGTTTTTTTTTTTCAAATAAGTCACTGAAGTCTAACACACCAAAAAACCAAATAAAACGAAAACATTGTTTAGATATAATTTGCACCAATTTTTTTATGGGGACAGCTTTTAGTTATGAAATCCTTTGTAAAATTACAATCATGATTTCGCTCAGTTTCGAACATTTGTGTTTTAATCAAATCAAATCACTCACTTAACTGGGATGAATCAAACCGACAAGACTCCTCATAGATGATCGACCCGTTATGAACAATTCAACATAAGTTCGTAAACAAATAACTCATGTGAGCTGTTTGATTGCGATCACAAAACTTCGATCAATACATGTTTGATCACATCTTTTTCGTTTGGCTTGAGTAACTCGAATGAACATGTTGCATCTGACCGACTGATTGAGTTTGATTGTATTTCCACTGTGTGTGATCAAGCCTACTCGATCATACTCATTGCAGCCCTCTGGTATGAATGCCATACTCGGAGTCCACCCCCCATCCATTGCAGCTAAAGAACGTAGGCTGCCTAGGCAAACCAGGGTAGTTTTGGCCCAACTACGTTCAGGATGGTGCAACCGTCTTAATTCGTATTGGGCACAAATTGATGAGGATGTACGGAACGCCTGCCCAGCGTGCGATATAGGCCCGCACAACACGCTGCACTTGTTTAATTGTCCAGCCAAACCTACCCAACTCCGTCCAGAGGATCTATGGCTACAGCCCATAAAGGTAGCAGAATTCCTAAACCTGGACATTGAGGAAGAACCGGATTAATCAGAAAAACAACAGAACATGTAAAACTGCTACAACAACAACAACAGCCGAAGTACATTAGGGCAATCGTATTGTTTGTGTACTTCTGGCATTGAAATATTTGTGGTACTGTTTTGTTTGAAGTACAAAACGATTGAAAATAATTTTAAAGTTTGTGACTTCGTGTGAGCAGTAAGTTATTCATTTCTTTATTTTCGTTCGCTAAGCACAACATCTCTTCTGGTTGGATCGACTGATAATATAAGAAATTCTGTCAGTGCTGGTGATTGTTGTGTTTTATTATCACTTGATTAGGAAAAGGCATTTTACAGGATTAATCACGTCAACATCAGTAAGCTACATAGTAAGTTAAGTTAATGATTTCTTACTTGTACGGGAGAAAACAGTATATCTGCTGTAAAAATTTCTTCTTCCAGTGTGTAGTGATGTGCCACAGGGATCTGTTCTTGGGCCAACCCAAGGATGACATTCAAATTTTGTTTAAAAGGAGAATACGTATTTATGGATGTGTTGCAGTCATCATGGTTTTCCTGTAACGGTCTCTCAATAGATGCTCAAAAATCTTAAGTTATTTTTTTGGGAACTTGCAAGACGATTCAAAAACGTTTCCATTTATAGGACGCCTATAGATGTTGTAAGCTCGATGAAATGTCTTGGTTTGTTTCTTGATTCTGGTTTAGTGTTTTATGTGCTTGTGAATTCTTTAGTGTTTAGATATAGTGTTGCGTAAGAAGATTGGAATTCAGTTGGTACATGCCTTAATAATACCTCACTTTTAATATGGCTGAGCCATATGGCTACAGAGGGTATATATATATCATTTAATACGGCCAAAACGTGCCCCATTGAAATAACGGCATTAGACCTTAGGTCTCTTTGGACCAAATCCGTTTCAGGACATTTTGAGTCGATCTAGCGATGTCCGTCCATCTGTCTGGTGCGCACGATAACTCTCGAAGGTAGTATCCGATTTAATCCAAGCTTGGTACATCGTAACATTATTGTCAAACTTAGATCGAGTTCGGAAATGGGCAATATCGGAACATTCCTTCTGGTACCTCCTCCACAAAATGCCAATATGTTCAAAGAAAATAATTTACTGCACAGAAAGAGAAATGATAATCCGATTTTGCTCAGTGCTAGGTCAGGTGCGAAAAATAAACAATATCGGTCCACTCCATCAAGTACCTCCCCCACAAACGGTAAAAATGTTGAATAATTACAACTTTTATAAAATTTTATGTAAGAGTCCGATTGTCATCAAAATTCACACATCCCAATTTTTTTTATCAACCCAAGGTCTGGTGCTAAGATGGAATATACCGGTACCTCGCCCACAAAACGTCGACATTTTCAAAAAATATATTTTCTGCACAGAAAGAGATGGGATTATAAGATTTTGCTCCAACTTTGCAAATCCTAATATTTGCGTCAGTGCTACGTCAGGTGCGAAAATAGAGAATATCGGTCCACTCTATCAAGTACGTCCCCCACAAAAGATCAAAATTTTGATTACAACTTTTATAAAATTTGATGTAATAGTCCAATTGCCTTCAAATTTCGCACATCCAATATATTTTTATCAACCCAAGATCTGGTGTTAAGATGGAATATATTATGAACATGAATACACAATGAACAATATTGGCCCATTACTTCAGAACCTACTGCATAGAAGCTTAACAATTTGAATAATCATAATACAAGTCAAAATATATTTTAATAATCGAACATTGGCTGAGGGTATACATCTGTCGGCTTAACCGAGATATACTTTTTAACTTGTTATATTGTATTGAGATTTTTGGAGGTAGTTGTGGTTTTGTTTTTCGTAGGTTAAAACTATTGTTTTTATGGTAATGCGATATGTTTTCTGTGTCAAACGTCGTGATCATATATCTCCTTCTGTGAAGGAGCTTCTTGGTTGTTCGTTTGATTGTTTTGTGAATTTAAGGCCAATGTTGTCCTTCTACAAACATTTTAAATTGCAGACACCTTCTACTCTTTTGGATCTTTTTAAGTTTTTTAGATCTGTAAGGAACCCACAAAACGTTACCACGCTTGACTCCTCTGTTCCTGCTATGTATGAATTGCTCGCATTTCAACAATCTGACACACCTAATCTTAAGACATTTAATTCTTCCCTACAATGTTATAAGCGTAACTTATATGCTTATTTCAATATTGCTTACAAATTTTCATGGTTTTCTTCTTGAGGTCATTTGTTTTTGTGTTTCAATCAATTGTTCATTTTGCTCATCTTTTTTTGTTAATTTGTTTTAATGTTTAATTTTAAATAAGACTTTTAGGATTACGAATATTATAATAATTTATGTCATGTAGAGAAGTTTTTGAAACCGTCCATGGCCCTATGGGGTTGCTCTACAAATTGGAAATATATAAACAAATTCAGACTAAAGACTAGAGTCGGTAAAAGTTCCGTATATCGGAAACCCTTTTGACTTAAATGAGCGGATCTTTCAAGATATTGGAATACGTAATTGGATACTTAAAACATCTTCCGAAATATCACAGCTCAATTCTAATTTTCGGTTTAAATATTAATTTCTGATTGAAAGTTTGAATATTATCAATATTGCATTCTTCGTTTGAATAATTCTCGTGGATCTGAAACCAATATTTTTCATACAAAAACTTTTCATTTCGTTCATCCGCATGGATGTTTAAGTCGATTACTTCTTTCAGTTTCTGAACAGAGCAAACATTGTAAATGTTTTTTTTTTCCTATTTTTCATTTTCTCAGACAAAAACTAAACGTTTTTAATCAATTAGATTGTTAAATAAATTTATTTATAGATTTAAAAGCGAATTTGAAATATTTTACAATATATATATATATATTTATTTGAATATATCATTCTTAATAAATTTTCATAATCCATTCTGTGGTAGTACACACATATATATACGTTCATAATTATCCGATATATATGCATACAGAAATATAGATATATAAAGTAAATTAATAAATGTTGAAATTTATTCTCTCTCATGTCTATGCTATTTTCTTAACACAGTACAGATTAATGTTTGTTCGTGCAATAAAATTACTATGTTCCTTAACAATATATGTAATGGAATGAATAAAGTAATCCACATGTCAAAGAAAATAAAAAATAACAAACAAATGAAAATGAATACAAAAGTATTTAGAAAAAAACCAATACCTAAGGACTTTATTTCTATTAAGTACGTAATAAATTCTTTTTTTGTTATAAACATAGTCTTATTTGTGTGAAAAACGACGGGTTGTAACCAAGTAGAATAACAACTATTATCCAGTCACTGTTAACAATCTTTGGTGTTTCCATATGCTTTCGTAAATATAAATTAACATCAAATGCATTTTGCATTTCTTTTTTGCGCTTTCTTTATGAGTTGGTATAAAATGATGATGATGACGCCAAAGACGATGTTGGAGCTTGATTGCTGGAATGTTGTTGGAACTTTCTTTGTGTTTGGCTATGATGTTTCTGTGGTGGTGATTGCATTGTTGCATGTGTCGTTGCATTTCTATTGAGATCGTTTAAATGCTGTGCTGCCGTATTCGTGATTTTTGAGGATTGCTGTTCGTGTAGATTTTGTTGTTCTTTAGTGCGATTTTGCTGCTGCTGCTGCCTTTCTTGGTTATGAGCCGCATAGCTATTTAGGTAATCGATATACATGCGCCTCGCTTGATTCAGAACTCGAGTAACATCATGCTTCCTCACCATTTTGTCAAAGTGCATTGCTATTTCGTTATAATCCATATGAGCTTTCATAATAACGTTGCGATGCTGCAACAAAAGAGTTAGACAAAGAAACATTAGGAATGGATTACCACCCCCAAATTCCGAAGGCGGTGGCAACTTTGTTGCCGGTGTGGAATTTGTTGAATTGCCGCTGCTGAGATGCTGCTGCATAGGCGATGTTTTCGAAAAGGCAACTTCATCCGCTGCATTTGTAGCCATCTCGTCAACATCTCCTGTCTCGGGTATAGTTGTGGAAACTGGTATCAGAACTTCAGGCAAAGAGCTCGAGCTGCTGGATGGATGGCTGTAAAATGGTTCGCAACTGTTGCTGTTCTTAATGGATCTCTCTCGTTTAGTCGAAGAGCCGTTGTCTGTAGTTTCCTCAAGGAATGGATTTAGGACAACCGAATCTGCATTTGAATTTATTCCATTGGTATTTACATTTGTATACACTTCACCATTTAAAATTAACGAAGCCCCATTCTGGTCAGCATCTAGATCTTCAATCATATCCAATGAGTCTTTTCCTAGTTTTTCGTATTCAATTTCAGAACTAGTTGATTCTTTGGTAACTGAGTTATCACCAAATACCTGCCTATCTAAATTATCTGCTTCCATATGCAATTCTCGAATTATCGCCGGATAATAGTCTAAATCTTGGCCTTCCTCTGGTGCGGCATTCGCATCGTCATGTTTAATTGTATGTTGCTTAGGTGCCATATCATTCTGACGTTTATGTTGTATACTCCCCTCTAGGGTCGGGGTACGTTCCGGTGTGTGTGTTTGGGAAGAAAGTGAATTGAGCTCTAGGTGTAAACTATTGCTACTTAGATTATTTGCTTGTTGTATTGCTGTGACAGCTGTTGAACAGCTCCAGGTGTTATTCGTAGTGTCAGGTATTGACGATGAGTCGGACTCTTCAAGAGATGAGGTAAAACCTCCTTTGGTAAGTTGTACAAGGGGATGAGGTGTTGGAGAAAGTTTTTGGGGAGAAGGTGTTTTGCATTGTTTTTGTGCAACATTATCATCGTTTGGCAAGAATGTTGTGTTAGTCTTGTCAGCATTGCCTACACGACTTTTGTTCATAGCTGCGAAATTCAGAAATTCATTGAAATTTTTTACTAGCCTTTGTTGGGATTTCTCGTTGCATTCATCAAGAGATAAACCTATAAAGTGAAAATATATATTTTAAAATGTGGTAAAAGAAATAAACCGCTTTTTTACTTACCTTTTCGACTACTTGCTGCAATTTTTTCTTTTAAATCTTTAAAATGCCCTCCACTTGTGTTGCTCGCATTCGTCAACTGTTTAACAATTATATTGCTCACAGTATTGTAATTGGAGATTATTTTTTTGTTCTGCAACTTTGCAATTCCTTTGGGTATCGGCAGGTTCTTCTTTTCGCCCGTCTCATTATTCGCCACTTCATTCGATTGAGTTGCATTACTTGAACCACTGTTTGCAACATCACCGACTATAGACGACGAAGAGCTGCTGCTAAGAAATACTTTATGAATCCCCGAAGATTTAGATGTTGGTGTGGATGCGTTTTCAACTTTCGCAGAAGTGTCGTCTTTGAAGGGGTTTGTGTCGTGAAATGTAAAATGACAACTGTGGTCCGAGAACACATCATCATCCTCCGATTGATCAGTGTCAAGGTGCTTTTCTGCTGCTGACGTTGTTATGCTTTCATCAGAAGCGTCTGGATTTTTTTGTCTTCCTTCTAATAGCTGCAAAATTTTGGTCTCATCTAACGACTGACGATTTGATGGCATTCTCCGTCTAGTACGTTTAGTGGCCACATGCCGGGCTATATTATCGTCAAGGCTTTGATTCAGTCGTCTTGTGTCATCGAGTTTTGATACCATCACTCCAGTTCCATGGTTAAGACAAGACGTGAGAGATGTGCTTAGCGAATGTAACGATGCGGATGAACTTTGTCTTCTTAAATCACAGACCTTTGTATAAGCATTTTCCCGCGGTTTGGTCATAAAGTAGGATGGGCTTATAGGAGGCACTCCACCGCCAACACTGGATGGCGAAGATGGAACTGCAGTTTCTGTTATGGGTACAAACTCCTTTTCAAATAACTTTAGTTCCTTATCTACGCTGGTTTCGTACTTTAAAGAACTCCACTGAACCTCTAACATACGTAGCGCGTCTTCGAAAGGAAATTCTCTTTTCATTTCCAACAACAACCAGCGATAGCAGAAAAGCAAATCGTCTGCTTGTTGCGATTTTAGGTACTCCCAGAAGTCCGAATCGTAATAACTTAAAGCTTCAGTAAGGTGGGCAAATTTCTGCGTCATTGCTATGCCATCAAGCATAAAATTGCCCCTCACCCTCTCCATTATTGCACAAAAACATATGTAAGCTTGTGCTTCGTCATTCATTGTAACCAATAGCGGCGAAGCTATATCAGACATGCCTTGACAGTAGCTGACAGACGGATGATTCAAAGCATATGTTGTGAGTATGTTAAAAAGTGATGCTATATTCTGATTGTCATCATTGCCGGCATAAAATGGATGAAGTCTATCCGTGCGCAAAACATCCTTTTTAACCATGCTGGTGACATATGCCAACTCACCAACAACGCAACCTGCAACAGAGTTTGTTAGTGTATGTTTACCCGCTTATTGGATTGGTTTCTCTTACCCTGTTTTATGGCCGTTTTCCAAACGTCCCTCAGCTGATAGTACTGTTCCGATTTGCGGCGCATATAGTCCATTCGTTGGTGGCCATTCATACCGGCAGGATAGACATTTAAAATGTGCTTCCAAACTACCCGCCGAAGGCTGGGATCGATGCCACCCAGAAATATAACCTTTCGCAGTTCGTCCGTCCGTTGAATTTGTCCCAGGGCATCTAAATACATGCGAAATTCATTGTCGGCCAAAGATGGTCTCGGCGGCAACGCAGCCATGGTTTCTTCGTTGAGATTAAACGCTTTCTGGACCATTGAAAATGTTTTCTCCATTTGATTCATGATGAGGCCAGGCAACTTTGTTTGCATTTGCTGAACATATTTTTGAGAAGCACCAATTGATTGCTGCAGTGGTGATATTAATTCACGAGCCGATGAGCTGGTGGGTGTTGCCCCAGTACTGCTGCAGACAGAACCCGAACCAACCAACATTGATGAAGTGTTTATCGTAGTGTCCGGATCCCAGTCTTTCACTTCCGTAAACGGTTTTATATCGATTTGTAGCATAAGGCATGGTTCCGTAGATGTCTGTATGGAAATGTTGTGTATTCTCAGAAAGGCCGCATCCAAATCCCAGTCGGACAAGACAGCCAAGTAAATTTCATTACCGGCTGGATCGTAGGCCTTGTATTTGATGGAGAAATCGGATTTGATGTCAAATGCTTTGGCCAACAGAGAATACAGCACCTCCAATGAAGTAATTTGTGGGTCAACGCTAAATTTACGCCATTCCGGAGGTCGATTCGGCTCACATTTCTGCAAAAGAAAAAGTCAACATCCTTGAGCCATTCACATTCCATTGTGCAATTTTACCTTCACTTTGCAACGTACTGCTTCCCTTGTATGGGCAAATACGTTATTGGACATTGAAGCAACCGATGATTAATGCGTTCAAAGACAAATCCCGAAACAGTAGAAAGTTTAAAACATTTTGAAATTTAGTTATTTATTTGTTAGCGAAATAAGCGAAATATATATTTTTGCAAAGGCTGTGTCCAGAGAACAAAGCGGAACAATTTTTTCGACGGCGACGGCTCATCAGGTGTAAACCAATCGACGGCGGTGCGATGTCAATTTTTTCGGCGCGGAACAAAAAATTAAAAACAAATTTATTTTACATTTTATTTCATTCTTTCCCACACGAATAACACAAAAACAATTTGATTGAAAGTAAGAACACAACACACCGCAAGTCTCACAAGAAATATCAAGAATAAAAAAACTACAAGAAAAAAGAAACAAAGTGCAAATGTGTGATAAAGAAGGGGATCAAAGCAAAAACACCGATAGCAAAAGGGTTCTAGAATATCAAAAAAATTTATATAAAGGGGTCTAAAAATTCCATTTTCCCTCATCAAAGCAGCTGTTTTGTCAGTACCCAGAGTTGCAAAGTTGCAGCTAGTCTTGTTTGCAGCATGGTAGAAGAATACTGGTAATCGCATCGACGCAGCTGTTGGGATAATAATCTGTCATACCAATTTTGGAATTAAAATTCTTTATGTCGTAGAAGAAAACATCTAAAAATCTACATTGTAAAAATATCTCACAATTTTAAAATTGTTTTATTAAAAATAAGTAGATTTTTTATATTTTCTCAACAATTTTTAAAAACTTTTAATCATTTTTAATTCAAAATTTTCAATTCTAAAATCGGTTTGACAGTTCATTGTCCCAGCAGCTGTGTCGAAGCGACTACCTGTATTCTTCTACCATTGGCGTACCCCTGTACTCATATATTTAACACATATTTTTAGTTAAAACGCATGGTAGAATAATACAGGTAACGGCAAGTGTTGTTGTACAACATCCACATACAAATTTGTTTTTGAATTTGAATTAGGTTTTAATTTCAAAAATATACATTTTTGGAATTTGGATAATTAAATTGAAAATGCAGAAGAATAGTTCTTAAATATTTAAATTTTAATGCTTTCACATCATTCCTCTGAATGTATAGTTGTTAGCTTTTGGTCATAATCTGTCAACACTTTAAGCAATCGCTAGATAATCGTGGAAAAGGCAAACTCCCTATTCAAGTGGAAACCAAACAGCACACATACATTAAGTATTCTGAAATATACGAATATATTATCTAACATGGTGTCGCTGTTCCTTAACCGCAAAAAAGTTTCCGAACCATCGCCTTTGGCGTTTTGTTAAGTACAACGGCGCTTTTTTTTATTATTGGGCAAAAAATATTTTCACATTGCCCTGCAGCGAAATTTTATACCAAAAAAGGTGTACCTTTTGTATATCAAGAAATGGAATTAAATAACAAAACGTCATATCGAGTTTGACACTAGTATTACTATAGAGTCAAATCAGCTGGGACTTGCTGTTACCTGTAATAATTATACCATGGTTAAAACGGTTCGTATTTTATATATTCATATATTCTGGACATACCCAGAGGAATGAGTAAGACCAGCTACCATAGTACAATTACAATTATTATTTTGCCATGCCAGCTACCATCATAGAATTAAGAAGGTAATTCTGCCATCACATATTTACATTTTTTCAAGATTATTCATTTGACAACATTTCATTTCATTGTCAGAAGTTATGTTTATAAATGAATTGTATACACAGAAATCAGGGATGGAAACCTGTTTTTTATTCAGTGAAATTTGACAAGGTAAATTACAGAAAATGCAGAGATAGATAGTCTTATTTGAAATTCTTTGTTTTACCATACCAGCTACTTAAATTATATGAAATTTGGAAAAACTTTATTGAGTAGATCCGGCTCTTGGTTTCGGATTTTCATTCTCTGGAACAAGCATAAATTTACTTAATAGAAAATCGTGAAAAATGAATGGGATGTTACGGATTGTTTATAATATCAACAGTCAATTACATTGCGTATACACAGTCCAGTGGATTTCATTTGACGTATACGCAATAGAATTGACAATTAAACTGCGTGTAAATGGATATCATAAATACTCTTCTTATATGATTCTTATGAAGTAATCATGGTAAAAGTAAGAAGGTATGGTCATTTCAAATAGCATACCCATCTCTGCATTTTCTGTAATTCGCCTTGTCAACTTTCACTGTTCCTATTTCACAGGTTCCTATTTCTGATTTTTGTATGTACAATGAATTCATAAATATAAAAAAAAAATTGCAAATATATGTTTGCATGACTTTACCTTCTTGATTCTCCCATGTTAGCATGGTAGAAGAATATAGGTAGACGCGTCGACACAGCTGCTTGGACAATGAACTGTCAAACCAATTTTGGAATTGAAAATATTGAAGGAAAAATTATTTAAATTTGTAAAAATTGTTGAAAAACGCGAATTATAATAGCCTCCGCATGACGTAGTATATGAAAGTATATGAAAATCTACTTATATTTGAAAAAAAACATTTAAATTTTTTTTGACATATCAATGCTCCCAAGCGTTGATAGATCTACCTGTATTCTTCTGCCATGCATGTAAGTAAGGGTGAAAGTACATAAGAAGCTTGAAGGCATATTTTGTGACATTTCAAAGGGATAAGAGAGAAATCCTGCCGTCGTTTTCCATTATAATTTGACATTAATATGCCAAGTCATGACTTCAAGCTTCTTATGTACTTGCACCTTAATGTTCATTTAGAAGTTTTCGAATATTAAGGTATTCTGAGATAAGTGAAATGGAACAAAAAAGGCTGGTTATATCTAGTGTGAGCAATAAACCCAGCGTTCGAAAATAAACAGTATGGTACTGTACCGTAGTGTTCTGTACCGTTCCGAGGTGGAGTGGTACACTAAGATAATGTACCGTACCGGAGCACAACCATTAAAAAATATTTTAGTGATACTGTACCGGAGCACAACAAGAATCGTACTGTACCGCAGTCGGAGCACTAAAAAACGTAGTGTTCCGCAGTCGGAGCACTACGAAATCGTAGTGTTCCGCAGTCGGAGCACAACAAAATCGTAGTGTACCGCATGGCGGAACATTAAAAAAAAATAATGTATCGGTAGTGTACCACATATGTGTTGTTTACGATTTGTGAGAAAAATTATTACTAGCATAATTCAATATTATGAAAATAAAAGCTGGATTTATTTTATTTGTCATGTATGTTTAGATTGGTTGCAAGATTGAAGAAAGTAGAAAAATATGGGAATACGTAGAAAGAATAAAAAAGGACCAAATCTGAAGTCATAATAATTTGTATTTAACCATTAAAAATTGAAATTTTCCACGAAAAAGGGTATTTTAGTGGTTGCATTGCAATGGGTTATTATGCAAATAATTTACCTGCTATTTTGTGGTACCGAAAAATGAATGAGTGTTGGTGTAAAAAACTAAATATTTTACAGTGTATGGCTGAGTGTTTAAAATCAGTTCGATTTTCTAATGTGGTCATGTGCTACACTACGATTTTTTAATGCACCGATTGCGGAACACTACGTTTTTTTAGTGCTCCGACTCCGGTACACTACGATTTTTTAGTGTCCGACTGCGGTACACTACGATTTTTTAGCGCTCCGACTGCGGTACACTACGATCATCGTTGTGTTCCGGTACAGTATCACTAAAATATTTTTTAGTGGTAGTGTACCGGAACACTACCGCTAAAGATTTTTTTAGTGATACTGTACCGGTACAGTACACTATGTTAGTGTACTGTTTATTTTCGAACGCTGAATAAACCTGATTGACTGGAGAAAATACTTAAAACTGTTGATATTTCTGATAAAATTCGTTGTTATCAACTTCTGCCAAAAAGGCTAGTGAATATTAGGGTGGGTCAAACATTTATTTTATTTTATAAAATTGGCGTAGTGTCAATGGAATGTCATTAAATTTAAAAAAAAAATGTAAAAAATTATCCTTGTATAGATCTCAGCATATGAACTACAACTATTTCATAGGTTCTTACAAATTGGATAATGTTGACTCGTTTCTTGATCTTGGTGTCATTTTAGACAATAAATTACGTTTTAATTTCCATATAGAGTCTTGTGTTAATAAAGCAAAGTCTTTACTAGGATTTATAAAACGTTGGTCAAAGGAATTCGACGATCCTTATGTTACGCTTATTTATCAGCCTTGTTCGACCTACTTTAGAATATGGCTGCTTACTTTGGAGTCCTTTCTATAAAATATATTCAAAAAAGATAGAGTCTGTACAGGTTCAATTTCTTTTGTTTGCTCTGAGAGGTTTAGGATGGAATTCTAATGAACTTCTCCCACCTTATGAGAATCGGCTTAAACTTATCGATCTTCCTACACTAGAGAAAAGGAGATTAATGCTTAGACGTATTTTTATCAACAAACTTTTGCGTGGTCAAATTGATTCTGAGTTTTAAACTGGTGAAATTAAATTCAATGTCCCCTCGCGTAATACACGTTATTATATACCACTTAAACGAACATTAGCAAAATCGAACTTTGAAATAAATAATCCTCTCCGAAGTTTATGTGCTGATTATAATAAATTATATAACACGATTTCTTTGTGTGAACCCTTGCATGTCATAAAAAACTCTATCCTACGTTCTTAGTTTATAAAATAGTTGCCAGACTTAGTGTCTGTGATTTAGTATTTGTATTGTTTAGTTTTACTATAGTTTAGTTTAGATACTTTAATTCTTTTTAATTTTTAAACCGGCTGATGATCTAATGTAGCCGGTTTCCCAAGTCTACTAACCCCCTATAATCCGGACTATGGTGTGTACGTGCTCCCTACGTTATGGGGTGGTCGGCAGGGGCGGGAAAGTGAGGCTTTGGGAACTATCGAAAAAAAAAACAGTTTGAGAAGATCCATATTAATTAATAACGAAGGAAAATGATGTAGGAAAACTTAATTGGATCATATATGAAAGCAACACAAATGCATGTTTACAACAAAGTAAAACAGTAATAATAAATACGAATGAGTGAACGAGAACGATCATGGCAGATGAATACAGGTAGATGCATCAACGCTTGGGAGCATTGATATGTCAAAAAAATTTAAATGGTTTTTTCAAATATAAGTACATTTTCGCGTTTTTCAACAATTTTTACAAATTTAAATAATTTTTCATTCAACATTTTCAATTCCAAAATTGGTTTGACAGTTCATTGTCCAAGCAGCTGTGTCGACGCGTCTACCTATATTCTTCTACCATGAGAACGATTAAAGACAATACAATGGTAAATATCAAACTAGTAGCGCGTTTAGATACGACATTTTATACGGTTGTGAGTGGGTAATTTGGGTTAACTTTTATTCAACAAGATTTACCAAAAACAAATAGATCTTTTCACGATCGAATTTTTTATGAACTCATGGTAGAAGAATTTAGGTAGAGGCATCGACACAGCTGCTGGGACAATGAACTGTCAAACCAAATTTGGAATTAAAAATGTTGAATAAATATTATTTAAATATGTAAAAATTGTTGAAAAACGTGTATTATAATATCATCCGAATGACGTCGTATAAGAAAACATATAAAAATCTATATATATTTGAAAAGAAATTTACAATTTTTTGACATATCAATGTTTCCAAGCCTTGATGCATCTACCTGTATTCTTCTACTGTGGGTACACTCTAAAGTCGTGAAGGTTTCCTCAAAGGCATTCCTTGCATTTTGCATTCGAACAATGACAAAAAACTTACACTTTTATTTGCTCTTGATAATACAATGGAAGATGCATTATTACACCCTCCACCATTCTATGGAGGGTATATTAACTTTGTCATTCCGTTTGTAACTCCTCGAAATATTGATAATAGACCCTACAAAGTATATAAATTCTGGATCAGCGTAAAATTTGATCTAGCGATGTCCGTCTGTCTGTCTGTGGTAATCACGCTATCTTTCGAACGAATTGAGATAGAAGGCTAAAATTTTGCACACATGCATAGTTTACCAGTAGGCAGGTTAAATTCGTAAATTGGCCATGCGGGTACACGTTTGTATGCGTCTTCGAAAAGCCCCATATAACGGCACCTCCCGAAATTCGGTATTTTGATGATTTATGCCACATTTTTTCACGGATTTGCCTGAAAATTGGTATTTGTAGGTCATAACGTGCGTGTGGCAAAACATTGCACGTATAGGTCCACGTTTTGGTATAGCCCCCATATTAAGGTACCTCCCGATATTTGGTAACTTGATTATTTTTGCCACATTTTTCACTGATTTGTCTAAAAATTGGTATTTGTGGGTCATAATGGGTCCTAGTTCGTGTGGCGAGACATTGTATGTGTCCACTCTTTTTGGTATAGCCCCCATATAACGGTACCTCCCGATATTCGGTATTTTGATGATTTTAGCGACATTATATACCGGAATTATTTCGTATTTAAAGTTCGTAATGGGTACTACAACTAATTGCAAAAAATTGTCTGTGCAGGTTCACGTCTTCGTATAGCCCCCATATGACGGCACCTCCCGATACTCCGTATTTTCATGATTGCGACATTATTCACCGTAATTGTAAAAAATGTAACATCCTTAAATATTCATCGTAGATCCCATAAAGTATATATATATTTATATTATATATGCATAAAATTCTAAGTCGATTTAACGATGTCCGTCTGTCTGTCTGTTGAAATCACGATACAGCCCACATTGTTTGACGTAGAGCGCCAAATTTAGCAGAGCAATTTGTATTGTGTTTAGGATCATTGGTATTGAAAATGAGATATATCGGTCCACGTTCTGGTATAGCCCCCATATAAAGGTACCTCATGATATTCGGTATCTTGATTATTTTTGCCACATTTTTTCATGGATTTGTCTAAAAATTGGTATTTGTTGGTCATAATGGGTTCCAGCTCCGGTGGCGAAACATTGCATGCATGGGTCCACGATTTGGTATAGCCCCCATATAACGGTACCTCCCGATATTCAGTGTTTTGATTGGTTTTGCCACGTTTTTTCACTAATTTGTCTAAAAATTGGTATTTGTGGGTCATAATGGGTCCTAGTTCGTGTGGCGAGACATTGTATGTGTAGGTCCACTATTTGGTATAGCCCCCATATAACGGTACTTCCTGATATTCGGCATTTTAATGGTTTTTGCCACATTTCTTACCCTAAGGTGGAGGGTATTAAAAGTTGGCCCGGCCGAACTTAATGTTTTTTACTTGTTTTTGGTTATTTTTTGCCATCTTAAGGTAGGGTAGGCTTCAATTCAAGTACTTTTTTTATGAATATTATCATACCATTAATCAAATAAATCAATAAAAATCAAGTCGTTTTGCATGTTTTTGTACATTTTATTTACTTATTCATTTAATAAATTTAATAAACATTTAAAAAATAATGATATTAATTTTTACATAGTATTAAACAAACTAATTAAGAGAAAAAATTTTAAATATTGAAACAAAAAAAAACTAATAATTAATTATTTGCTATACATATATTTATATGTGGGTGTTTTATTTATATTTATGCATATAATTAAGGATAAATATACATACGTACAAATTACAATAAAAAAATAAACATACACAATCTGTGACTATGCCATGGATTTATATAAAACTTATTCGCAAATACAACACGTAAGCATTTTATGGACTACACTGAAAGAAAATGTCGTTTGTAAACAAAGCCATTCTCCATGTCCTTTTTTGAACAATTAATTTCTGTGTATTTTTGGGTATACAATAACGAATATGAATTGATTTTGTATCTTTCTCATTTAGGCTAAATTACAAACAAATATTTACATGACAGTATATCGCATACTATAACAATTTCGCAGTTATTTTAATCTCTGAAATGTTTCGTTTTTTTATTTATAATTATGATAATGTACTGCTTTATGTCTTCGTTTAAACATTAACAATGACTAAATTTGAGGTGATGTATATTATTGTCATATTTCTAATATAACAATAGAGCAAATTATAAATTGACTTATCTAACATATGCATTTGTTGTAAGAATTTTTGTGAAAATCAGTTTAAAAACAATAAATAATTGCCTTTCACAATTTTGAATGCGTTTCATTCCTTTCAATATTCTGAAAATTCGTTTAAATATTACATTTGCGTAAAAAGGTCAGGTTTACATTGTATTTCTGAAAATACTCATGCTGGCGTAAACATTAATCAGTTTTAATACAAATTATAAACGTCATATATTTGTACGTAAACCAGCATGGTAGAAGAATATAGGTAGACGCATCGACACAGCTGCTGGGACAATGAACTGTCAAACCAATTATTGAATGAAAAATTATTTGAATTTGTAAAAATTGTTGAAAACGCATATTTAAATAACCTCCAAATGACGTCCTATAAGAAAACGTATTAAAATCTACTTATATTTGAAAAGACATTTAAAATTTTTTGACATATCAATGTTCCCAAGCGTTGATGCATCTACCTGTATTCTTCTACCATGGTAAGCCAGTATTTTTTAACTGTCAATTTCATTGCATTCACATTAAAAAAATCACTCCCTTTGTGATTATTAACATATTTACAAAGGACGACAATGCACATATGAGTTTCCTTTGAGAAAAGGATTCTACAAAATTAGGTCCCCATTTAGAATGTCAAATAATATTGCACTGACTAGATTAAAGTACGTTTACCAATTTAAGTAGTTTTAATGTTTGCTTTCCATAATTTATGGTGCTGGGCCAACTATCAAGGTTAACCTGAATAAAGTTTATATGTAAACGTACTTTAAAGACCATCTTTTCAAAATGAAAATATACTGTTCCAGAACCTACAAGAATCTACTAGGTTTGCTATAATTTATATCATAAAGGGTAAAAAATTTTGCATTCTTGCAGTTCTGGAACAGGCTATATATGTTAATGTTTGTTTACATTTTGCTATTTGTCATGGTAGTAGAGTACGGGTTGGGAACATTTATATGTCAAACATTTAAAAACGTTTGTTTTTTTTTTTCAAGAATAAGTAGATTTTTATATGTTTTCTTATACGATGCCAATCGGATTTTGTAGTGAAATGCATTTTTCAACGAATTTGAATTAATTTTTCAAAATTGATTTGACAGTTCGTTGTCCCAGCAGCTGTGTTGATGCGACGAAACGCGACCTTAGTAGAAAAAATATTCACATAACGAAAGAATTTACTGCATGGCCAAAGTCATGGAAAAAATAGGCACTTCATTTATGAGAGACGAGCCGACAAAAAACATCATTGTAATTTAAATCCCAGTACGAAATGTAACCAAATAGCAGATAAATTTTGACATTAACATTTGACTTTCGCTATGACCGAGGTTATGTCTTTGCATCAACGCTTGGAAACATTGATATGTCAAAATTGTTTTATCAAAATAAGTAGATTTTTAAATGTTTTTTTTTTTTTATACGACGCATATCGGAGGTTGTTATAATATGCATTTTTCAAAAATTTTTACAAATTTTAATAATTTTTTATTCAACATTTTCAATTTCAAAATCGGTTTGACGGTTCATTGTCCCAGCAGCTGTGTCGATGCGACTACCTGTATTCTTCTACCATGGCGCATACATCACGTAAATCGTATTCGTAAATCCAGTGGATTTTTTTGACGTATACTCAAGGAAATTGACAGTTAAATTCCACTCAATTTAATAAGTCTAAACCTACTTATAGGCAATGGAATGGAAGTTTTTAATCTTGATTTTTCGATTATCATGATGATGATGATTATCATTGATTCGGTTGCCATCTTGGTACTTGTTTTGCTTATCAATAAGTGAAAAAACTTGCGCCCCACTGACATTTCTTAACGGTATGAACATGGCAAAATTAAGAAGGTAAAGTAATTTCAAATAAGCATTGCCATCTCTGCATTTTCTGTAATTTACCTTGACAAATTTCACTGTATAAAAAACAGGTTCCCATCTCTGATGTGTGTATGTGCAATTTATAAATATACATTTTGACAATGAAATGTTGTCAAATTAATAATTAAAAAAGATTGTAAAGATATAATTGCATGGCTTTACCTTTTTAATTCTGCCTAGGTATAAATAAAGACTGTAAAATTAGTTATTGTTTGAAGATTAAATCATTTTTGAAGGCACATGGACACTGCAGTCGACGATGTTTTTTTTTTATTTTGAAACATTACCATTGCTCACTAAATCATTAAAAAAATGTTTAACTTGTGAAGACAAAAACCACATTTGGATAAAAATGTAGTGCGTTTACATATAATGAATCCAGTGGATTTAAAATGTCGATTCCACTACTCATGCGTCAAATCTTACAACCAGCGAATTTCATTTAACGCATTCTCGATGTAATTGACAGATTTATTTTAGAGTTAAGAGGTTATAGATTTCAACTATTATTAATATTGTGTGTTTAAGGAAATTTGTCAGTTTTTTGTTTTTGATTACTTATAATTATTGAAATTGTTATAAATTATTTGGAATTGATTATGAATGTGTCATGAATAAGGGGTGTTTGTTTTATGTTTAAATCGCCTATCAAAAAGTGGGTTTACAAACAAATCTTGATCTGCTTTAAGCATTAGAACGTGATTGATTTAAATAAATTTGTCAATGGAAAACTTATATTAAATTTATTATTTTTGATCGATAATCACGGTTAACAAGGGTAAAGGTTTGTATGTACCCTGAGGTTTGTATAAACCTGATAATTGCCCAATCACAATAAATTTGACGATGGAGAAAGTATGGTACATTTATTGTGATTGGTCAATTATCAGGGTTAACCCGGGTGGATTTAAAGTACGTTGGTAATTAAACAATTACAATAAATCTGGCTATATTTTACATACCTTAAATTTATTGTGATTGATCAATTATCGGAATTAATCCGGATAGAAATTTTGTATGTAAACGTACTTTTTACCCTGATAATTGACAGATCACACAAAATATGATATGCGTTACATTTACATTTATTGCGATTCGTCAATTACCCCGGTTAACCCGTGTACAGATTTTGTATGTAAACGTGCTATTAGACAGGGATTCGTTCATGGTAAAAGAATACAGGTAGATGCATCAACGCTTGGGAACATTGATATGTCAAAAATTTTAAATGTCTTCTTATACGACGACAATCGGAGGATGTTATGATATACATTTTTTAACAATTTTAACGAATTTAAATGATTTTTCATTCAAAATTTTCCATTCCAAAATTTGTTTGACAGTTTATTGTCCCAGCAGATGTGTCGATGCGATTACCTGTATTCTTCTACCATGGCTTCGTTGTTGAATAAAAAAAATAATAAGTGACTAATTTTTCATTTTCTGATTGTTTAACAAGTTTTAATTACCCTAACGCACCACTTCTGTTACAACAAAAATATTTAGTGCTTTGGATCCTTATTATAATCGACATAGACACGTACTACTTCACCCGAATACTTACGCTGCGATGGCATGAAATAGAAGTCTGGCGTATCGGCACCACCATTTGACACCAAACGTGGATCCTCGCGTGATCGATCACGATAGTGAGCACCATTTCTATGGGCACTGCGATCACGTCGATCCTGCGTGTAATACCCTGAGGGTTGCATGTTTGCTTGTTGCTGCATATGTTGTTGTCGTGGCAGCGAATAAGCCCGGTCGGTGTACGAACTGCCACCACCACGTGTATATGAAGCCGATGGAGTTTGATGGTCATTGCTGTGGGCGTGGCCATTCCTTTCGCGATCACTGCGATGCGAACGACCATTACTGCGGTACTCTTGGGTATTATTGCCGTTGCTGCCAGCGTTGCCGTTGTACATTTGCGATTTGTTGGTTGGCGAATGGGACATTTGTAGTGTTGTCTGCTGACTGCTAGAGGGACGATTACGTGAAGATTTGTCTTTGTGCGAAGTACCGTTCTTTTCTTCAGTTTCGCCATAAGGATCGAAGGCGTAGTTAGTGTTCGACGAGTATTCCTTCCATGCTGAATTCTGGATGAGATTTTCCTGCAAGCAAATCGTATAAATGGGTAAATATCATTCTAGAATGTGTTAACGTTTTTCAAAAATCCTCAACCAGTCAGCATTTTCATACAATTTATTTTCTTAATTAAAAAAAAAACAACAATAGCAATTTCTTAGATCATTCATAGGCAATGTTCGATTAGGGCAGATATATTTGTACATCGGATATCAACACTGTTTGTTTTTTGCATTTACATGATTAGAATATCATCACAGGCTTCAGTCATTTATTGAGTTTATGCTATTTTGTCACATCCAACGAACGAAATGAAAGTGCTTGTGATATGATGGCGAAATAAAAGTGAAGATAGTGATTAGAAGAGATTAGTAGATGGAAATGATGAAAGCAAGTTGATACAAAAGTAAGCTCGAAACACAACAGCCCAGTTTGAATGGACGTGACCCGTCTTGTGTTAAGTTAGGTGTTCTCCACACAACACAAGATACAATGCAGCCGTTCTGTTTCATCCTGGGCTATATGTTTTAAAAAATGTTTCATGTTATTTACAGTTTCAAGGCTGAATCGTTTGATTTGAGTTATTTACGCAACATTTTATTATCTTTGATCTAAAATTTCCTGAACTCACAAGAATCAGATATTTTTGCAAGTTTACAATGTTTTGCGATACCCACTTCGTATGATTACAAATGTTTACTGTTTTTGGCCGTTCTAGAAACTAAGATTTCAATAAGTGAGTTTGGCAATGTTAAGCACAACTTTATAGCCGACGGAAACCATGATAGTTCTGTTGTAAAAATCGAGGGAGTCCAGTTTATGTTTAACAAGTGTAATTGTATAACCTGGCGTTTACACAAGACAAATTATCTTGAATCAGGGTTGTATTTTGCTACCACATACATACTGAGTTCTTCGGTTTCCTTACTGTCTATAATTTTACAACGACAGTAAATCGTAACAAATTGAAAAAGAACATAATAGCAAGAGTGGATCAAAGAAAAAATGGAGAGGTAAAATGTGTGGTTTAATGACAAAGGCAAGGCTGGAAGATTGATAGCGCAAATGGTAGGTACTTTTAACAGTTAAATGTCAAAATTGCATACTGTTGTCCCTGTTTGTTTACTTTTCGAACTGATCATTCATTCACATATGTAGTGTCAAATTTTCCATATGTAGAAGTTGTACACATCGTGTGATACATGGACGACATTTCAATTGGGAAATACATTAGTATAGTACATAGGTACTTTTTCGATCACAGCGAGCCTTATTTTCATCGAAAAATATAATTTAACAGTGTTGTTCATGATCAAAGTATAAGGTTCCCTTCCAGCTCAGCTGATTACCAAACCATCTGTCAATTTAATTTGAATTCGCTGCAACCAAAACAAACTTCAAAACTATGGTAGAATAATACTGGTAGTCGCATCGCAAAGCTGGTGGGACAATTTTTAAATTGAAATTTTTAAATTTCTAAAAATTTAAAGTCCAATTTTGGAATAGGTTACATGCAACAATAGCCTACATAAGGTCGGTCAAAATATGACAATTTGAGAATAAACTTATCAGTTTTTGCACAACTGATGTTTTGTCATTCTTTGAATTTCAAATCACAATTATGTTATTGACAATGAACTAGATAGGCCGATTTTCAATTTTATGTTTCAGTATGGAATTTTCTAATCAATTTGGCTGCAATTCAAGTAATAAAGTAATTTATAAAGATGAGAATATATAAAACGCTTTTTTGACTGGCTTCTTCGTAGATGAAAAAAGGAGTTTTAAGTTGACTTAGTTCGATTTTGACATTACGCTCCTTTGTTTTTTTTCGAAGAAGCCAGCCGTTGACTTAGGCCAGTCAAAAAAGCGTTTTATGTATTCTCATCTTTACCCTTCCTGCTGAGAATGTGCACTATAAGCCCACCTTTTGGTATGAGCTTCACATAAAGCTATCTTCTGTTTTTCCGTTTTTGGAAGTTTTCAGTTACAATTTTCAACTAAATTGAATGTTTGTACTCCATATAATGTACTCCAACAATGGTAGCTCTTGATTCTTAAGGTGCTTAAAATTTAAAACGCATTTTTGCTGGCTTAGAGCATAGGGCCAAAATCGAACTAAGTCAACCTAAAACTACTTTGTTCCTCTACGAAGAAGCCAGCCGCAGACTTAAGTCAGTCAAAAAAGCGTCGTATGTATTCCCACCTTAAGTCATTGTCTGGCTTCTTCGTAGAGGGACAAAGGTGTTTTAGGTTGAGTTAGTTCGATTTTGACCCTATGCTTTTTTGTTCTTTTTCGAAGAAGCTTGCCGATGACTTAAACCAGTCAAAAAAGCGTTTTATATATTTCCGCCTTTACAAGCTCAATAACAACATTCAACCGGACTGCAGTATATTTTGCCCTTATTCATATTTTTGATTCCAATATCGATACCTATAGTTCTCTATGCAAATTCTAACGAAAATTTAAAGGTTTACGTTTACGTATTTGTAATATAAATTTAATATATTTATATCCTTCGTGTTTCGAGATGGAGATTGTATTATCAAAATTATAAAATAAGTTTAAAAGAAGAATTAGTCAAGTTTATTGAGAAACACTATTATTTGTTAGTAAAAATTCTGAATGCGTTTGGTTAGAAACATTTAGAGTTTAATATTTAGTCAAGATAAAAATACAAAACAAAATAGCATAAAACAAATGCTGACTGCTTCGGAAATTAAAGAAAACTAAAATATTTAGGTATAAGGACAGATCGAGATGAGTAGGGCCAATGAATGGTACAGAGGATACATAAAGGGATAGAAGTGGATACATTAAACAAATAATATTAATAACCTAAAGTACAGATTGAAGGAAGACACCGAACGAATGTGTACTTTTGGAATATTATAGATTGTTTATACGGAACAAGACCGTCAGATTTCATTAATTATACATTAAATTAATAAAGTATCTTGGCAAAACGCGTAATTTCAAAACCCCAAGCAAATGACAATAAAAATCCAGTGTCTAGCTTTCAATCATAATTTAGGTTGTTAGTATGTAAAAAGTGTCGGTGTTCGTATTTTAGAGAGGATACATAAGATTAGAACAAGAATTGAAATGGTGTGCATTAAAACGATAGTAGTCACATGGAAAACATAATACAGGGATAACAAGGTTGATAGGTTTGAGTTTGTTTTAATTACCGATATTGAATAGCAGTAGTAGTAGTAAGAAGTTGTATCTATCACACACACACACACTGATATACACACCAATGCACTGACATGTCGAACATTTACTACGAAAGTTAACATACACATGTGTGCTGGAGGATCGAGAAAGGACTCATTGTATTTGGCAAGAAATACAAATCAATGGTAAATAGTCAAGATTGCGATTGGCTGTTAGTGATGTTTGGTTCACTGTTTGTTTGATTGATTGGATTTGATTGATCTCACAAATGTTGATTGCAGGACTTGTTGTGGTAGGAGGAGGCTATGGTGATATCTAGAGAGAGAATATGATTGATGTCTGAATGGGTGGTTGGAGGGAATTGTTGAAATCTATAGATCACTAGAAGGCTGGTAGTAGCGTTGATGTTGCCTCTGTTGATATATCCGCCATTCATCGGGTATTACATAAATGAGCTTTGAAAACAGCATTTGAATATGTTTTTGTCATTATCAATGTATTTACTAATGGTTTGTACAAATAATAATAGTATAATATAATATGTATGTATTTATAATTACATTATGAAATTGTATTGTATGTGATGATGCTACATAGGAGATTAAAAAACATATTTGAAAAACTTTTTTAACTTGGTAAAAACAATAAATAAGCGATTCGGCGGGCTGGGCGCATTAACGTAAAATTTCTCTCTGTGGTACTTGGTCAATCACATGGTAAAATAATATAGGTAGACGCATCGATACAGACTAGGAACTGTCAAGCCAATATTGGAATTGAAAATGTTAAATAAAAAATTATTTTAATTTGTAAAAATTGTTGAAACACGAGAAATATAATAATCTCCAAATTACATCGTATAAGAAACTTATATTTGAACGAACATTTAAATTTTTTGACATATCAATGTTCCCAAGTGTCGATGCATCTACCTGTATTCTTTTATAATGGTCAATCACAATAGATTTGGCGTTTGTTTTCAATAGTCAGTTTGCCAATTATCAAGGTTAACCAGGATAGGGATTTGAATCTTTAACTACGTTTATATACAAATTTTTTTATCCGGGATAAACCTGATAATTGGCCAATCACTATAAACTCGTGATTGGACACTTATGATGGTTAACCCGGATAATGATTTTTGGTACAAACGCGCTATTATAGTACTTAATTAAATAAATTCAGATGCGTACTTAACGCATTTTTATTAAAATTTTCATAAAAATCAAAAAAATTAACTTGTGTACGTAATTTTAACGTCGAACATCGTGGTTCAAACGCAATTTAGAACATGGCATGAATTAACAGTAAGTTTATAGTTTATCGGATTTAGTAAAACCCATGGTAGAAGAATCGAGCATCGACACAGCTGCTGGGACAATGAACTGTCAAACCAATTTTGAAATTGAAAATTGTTAATTTGAATTATGTAAATTCGTTAAAATGCAATATTGAAAAAATGCATATCATTAGAACCTCCGAATGGCATCGTAAAAGAAAACATGAAAAAAAAACATTTTAAAACTTTTGATATATCAATGTTCCCGAGCGTTGACGCATCTACCTTAATTCTTCTATCATAAAACCCTCATAAAGAAGTATAACCCGGAAAGAAGCTCTAATGTAAACATACTTTCAAATCATGGTAGAAGAATACAGGTAGCCGATTTTGGAATTAAAATGTTTGAATGAAATTTTATTCAAATTTTTAATATAATATAAAATAAAAAAATATAATAAAAAACAGCATTTTATAACAACCTCTGAATGACGTCGTATAGGAAAATATATAAAAATCTACGCATTTTTGAAAAAAAAACATTACAATTTTTGACATATCAGTGTTCATAAACAATGATGCATCTACCTGTATTCTTCTACCATGGTAAACCCTCATAAAGGAGGTTATCACGGAAAGAAGCTCTAATGTAAACATAATATAACATAACATTCAAATATGTTTTTAATCTCCAAACTCGTTACGATAATTATTAAATAATAATTTTCTATTTATGTTGGTATATACAAATGGCCTATGACACGCCTAGCCACCACTTACCTTATTCGATTTATTCTTTCGAGATGTCTTGTATATGGTGCAAGAGGCCTGAATCAGTGCTATAAAAACTAAAGCAGCAATAAGACCCAATACAATATACAGACGAACTTCAGACAACTCGAAGAATGATAATTTGACGTCATCGGAATCGGATATAGATTTGTCTGGAAAGCGATCACAAAATGGTTAAGCTCGAACATTTTCAAAACACACACACTTTATAAGAATTTTTAGAATTATAAATCAATGGAAAACAACTCACATTCCAGAGCTTTGAAATCCAAAAATTGTGGATCAACTGTTAATGAGCCAACTTTGCCGGAGGCAATCGTTTCTCTTAAGGCCATTTCGATTACTTCGCCATTCTTCATGGACTCTTCCAGGGGAATATTATTGGTTGTGACAGCATAACCCTTCTCATAGTCATCCTTATCGAACATGGCCTGTAATTTGGCAATCATCGAAGTAGCGCCATCTCTAAAAACCCAAAAATGTATTAAGAAATGAATTTTTTTTTTCGATAGAGTCATACTTACTTTTCAAAACCTAAAATATCTGTTTTATAGTAACCGGGTATGTTGTTCAGAACACCATTGAATGAATCTGAAATGGTGGCAGCCAAATTTTTGAATTCTACCGAACCGGGGGCTGGTGCTTCAAAGGATTCAGCCAGGTTCATTAATTTAACGCCGACAGCATAAACTAAACGATTGGGCTCTGGTGTAGTTGGGGCACTACCGGCATCTAATAATTCTGTTTCAAATAACAAAAATAAGACAATTAATTGTAAATAATTTGACAATTGCTAATGTCACTGATGTTTATTTACCTTTTCCGCAAGATTTGATGCAAACACGAGTCGGTGAAACAACTGGAATATTTTCATGTTTCCTTATTTTTTTGTTCACAGCATTGAAAGCACCACCCAAAACGGGGAAGAACAAATAGAGACAATGATCATCGGTAAAGGACAAATCCTGGAAATTAAAGGAAACACGATTTTTTCAACTCTGTATTGACATTTTATTTTGCTTAATCGGAACGTATTGAAATAGTGTACAGGGTTGCCCATATTCACAATTGACTTCTTCTGTTGAATGTAAATTTCAACTATTTCAGAGCGCTCGCGTGGCGTGTATTGGTTCATGGTAAAAATCTGCTTGGACTGACGCTTCAAACTCGGTATGTCATTAAGCGATGTCACATCTCTGTCAAAAGTTATGGTGTTGCCAAATGGGGCAACCTTGTATCATTTATTTAAATTTTACAAACTATCTGACCGTGCCCGATTTGAACTTTTTATGAGATATGTGATCATTTTTGAAAATTTTTGAAATATGATTGAGGTTTCTGATATAGTGGACAAAGGTGTTCCACTTTATCTAATACTGATTAAAATATTGGGATTTGCATAGTTAAAAAAAAGTGAGACATTTATTACCAATTTTATGGGAACAATTATAAATCAACCTTTTGTGGGGGAGGTACGTTAAGGAGTGACTCGATATATTCTATGTTTATACCAGATCTCTGGTTCATAGAATTATTTAGATATACAAAGTTTGAAGAGAATCGCTTACTTGTTTCGCATGTTAAATTTTGACCCTTTGCGGGGAGATACCAGAAGGGTAGGCCGATATCTGTCATCTTCACACCAGACTTTGTGTTGTGTGAAATTTTAAGAGAAACTGATGTTTATTTCTAATTTTATGAGAGATATAATAATTCAAAATTTGGACCCGTTGCACAGTGGTCGCTGCCATTGGCCAAAATTCAAAAAATGAAAATCAGATATTTATTGTCAAATGTGTACAAATGAACTCTTAAGGGTTTAAGCTTTTTAGAAAACATAATAATCTTGGCTTCATTCTAACGGGACACTTCGAAAATAGCATCAAAAAAGAGAAAATGTAGTTAGTTGCTTTTTTCAGTGGGATCAGAGAAAAAGTGTAGTAAAAATAGAACTGTATTACAAAATTAAATACATTTTAAAATTACAAATCTTGGCATTATTATTGAAAAGCAAGGTATTAGCTTATTTTTAGTGCAGTAATTTGTGTGTTTAGTATATGTGTATAATATAGAAGATGTGAGTGTTCTAAGTTGCCTTTAAGATTAATTTTGAAAATAAAATTGGATTTCAGTTAAAGTTTTAATTGTTTTCCCCCCTGAATCCTCCAATGTGATTTTTTTCACGCCATTAGTAATGGTCCTAAGATTCTAAAAGTGCTAATTTAACTTTCAAATTTTGTCAGATGTGTACGTTATGCTGAAGTGACTTCGCTGCAATTTTGTCAGTTCTATGGTGCTAGTGACATAGAATATGTTTTTGTTGTTAGGGATTGAAAAGGATGTAACTGAGGGGTGTTCAATAATGTTGCAAGCATTGTCCTCTGGGTATAATATTTATGTCGAAAAATTTAAGGCCTTTACACTGGAAACTGCTAAAGAGTTAACAAATTTATATCCATAGCACTATCTTCCAAGTTTCGACTAAATCATGCCCGAAAAAATTCTAGTGTTTCAACAAACACAGATCTTATTAACCGTCTTCTTCTGAGCTCTGACCCTTTTATAATGGGACAGCGAACGTTACCAAACAATAACCAGTAAAGAAAGTCTTAAAGTCGAGCGGGGCCGACTTCATGATACCCTACACCACTTTGCATATTTATAGTAGAGCGTCACATAACAAATAAAGGTTTTAATGGGGAATTTGTGAGAATTAAATCATACCAACAATGATTATAGTAATAATTAAAAGTCCAAAGGAAGTTATATATGGGAGGAATATCCTCCTCTGAATCGATTTCTATTAAATTTGTCGAGGCATTTGTGCCTTTTCAATTCGGGCTTGTATTATCCATTTGGTGTACAATTAACTTGAAATCGGATAGATATATATGAGAGCTATATCTAAATTTGATTTGGGCTAATATTACACGTTTGGTGCACAATAAGGAGGACAAAAATGACAAATCGGATGAACAATATATATGGGAGCTATATATATATCTGAACCGATTTCGATCAAATTTTGCATACCTATTTTCAGGTCCCATCTGGTCGTACGTATATTCCATGCTATTTGGGCTGATATTACATGTTTGGTGCACAATTTAAGGCAAATTGGATGAATATATATGGGACCTATACCTAAATTTTGACCGGTTATATCCAAGTTCAATAGGGCCTTAAGTCAAACTAATTATTTGTGCAAAATTTATCTTTGATTTAATTTTACATTAAATTGTTATTTTATTTTGTTTACAAAAAATAATCAAATTTGGACTTGATTTGTATGAAAAATGCTTCTATTTTTGGAGGTACCTTACAAGGGACTCTACTTGATGGCGGGCTGTTCCAAATAATTTTCAGTAAGATTATTTTTAGCTCCTTAGAACGTAAAATGTCAAATAACATTACAATCTGGTGTAGAAATGTGACAAGAATTGGGCAAATAACCCTTATTCGGGAGGTACGTTATATGGGGACCATGCCAAAACATGCATCGACCATATCCATTTTGTCACATTTTTTATATTTATCCCATCAAGGTACCATAACCAAAGATTCATATTGATATCTGCACTGAAAGTATTTTTAGCCGCTGTTCCCATACGACCTCAACCACTGTGCGTTGTGGGCGGGGTTACCAGATGGAGTGGTCTGGTATATTCCAACTTCACACCTGATCTTGTGACGATAGAAATATTGTGATGTGCAGAGTTTGAAAATGATCGGATGCTCATTTCTTTTATGACCTTCACGGTTATTGAAAATGTTGACTCCTTTGTGGGATAGTACCAGAAGGGGTGAACCGATATTTAAAATTCGAGTTTTATGAGAGCTATAATAATTTATAACCTATTTTGGAGGAGGTATTTTATGAAGTGGAACGATGTTGTCCATTTTCGCACCTGGCATAGCACTGATACTGGATTTGCAAATTGTGCACAAAATCTAAGGATCCTTTCTTGTTCTATACGGTAAATTATTTTCTGTGCAAATGTTGACTTTTAGTGGGGGAGGTATCAGAAGGAGTGCTCCGATATTACCCATCTTCGAACTACATTCAAGTTTGACAATAATATTACGATGTACCAAGTTTGAATCAAATCGGATACTCCCTTCGAGAGTCCGGACAGACGGACAACCTTACATCGACTCCAAATGACCTGAAACGTATTTTGTCCAAAGAGACCTAGGGTCTAAGACCGTTGTTTCGACAAATGATATATACCCTCTGTTGTCATAAGGCTGAGTATAAAAAATGGTTTCTGATCTGACGGTGCCCGTCTGTCTGTTGTAATCTTAATATCTTTCGAACAAATCCATAGATAGGTTAAGTTCGAAGATGGGTGCACATTCTGTGAACCCCCATATAACAGCATTGACCTATCAAAGATATTCTAAATGTTTTAGCCATATTTCCGGCCCAAATTGTCTGTAGTTCAGCTTTTAAGGAAATAAAGCCCTTGGTAAAATATTGCCTGTGCGGTTTGTGACATTCATATCAAATTCCAACATTCCAGGTATAGTCGGTCTCCTCATATGCATATTTATTACATTTAAGAACTTTTTCCACACAATTATATTCATCACAGGCAAACCTAGGTACGAAATTTCAAATTGCTATCACTCAATACCAACTCAAAGATATTTAGTACTTTTTATTGTTTTTCGTTTTTTTCATGTCCCAATCTTCACAATCCCAACCATACCCTCACACCAAATTCCTCAATATTTTGAAATTGGCCAACCCACATACAAAAATCAGGATTTCTAGCTTTAACCGACTGCTCAATAACATTGGCATATGGCTTTGAACAATAGGCTATTTTTTGTATCCTTCTGGCTCGAATTTTCAAAATTGTACTCCATTGCACCAAAAGCGATCCTTATGCCAAATTCCACGATTGTAGTCATAGTCGTTTCGTCTGGGCGTGCATAAATCAGTCACTACTCTCATTAATTATGCTGAGATATACTGAGAATGTTAAATTTTCCAATAATTGGTAGCTTCATACACCCCCAACCCCCTTACCTGAGCATCATTGCTAATTCTTTTGCGGGTAAATTCCAAAATGGTAACACCCTTCTCTATGCGACCCTCGGCATTGTAAAGATCCTGACGGTCGTCCAGCTTAGGAGAAGAATAACCATTAATCCAGGTGTCCATGAGGAAGGGGCGTCCATTGCGATCAACCCAACCAATTATGGAATCCGTTTGAGACATCTTCTCATCGTTACTGAATCCAATGCCAGTCCAGGTCTGGGTGTTTGAAGTTTCAATGTGCCAACGCATTTCGTCACCGCGACCAATCGTCTCCCACGAGACATAGTATTCGCACGTGTGATTCTGAGGTGAACAACTTGCAGGATATTTCCAGTGGCCAAAGCAATCGTTGTCCAAAACATTGGCCGATTCATCGGGCATACCATCGACTGTTTTGGGTTTTTCTTTTTCTAAAATAACATTTTTTCGTTAATTACAGCTTCGGGCAATTTAAATAGTTTCAGCGAAACTTACCGAAGAAATTGATTAGGGCAACACCCCGCTGCATGTTGTGGCCATGGTATTTCAATTCATCCGGATAATAGAACTCTTTCATGGCGGCCATATCGGTTTCCATGCCAGAGGCTGGTATGTGAACATAGTTGTTCAATTCCTGACCCTTGGCCCAAATGACATGGGTCAAAGTATCGGTCAAGGAGTGATCTGTGGGCTCGCTGGCTGTAAGTTTCTTGCGGAATATAATCGTTGTGACACCATCCTTTTCGTAGCCTGTGGCCAGAGTCAGATCCTGTTTGCCGCCAAACACTTCATCAAGTTTTGGAGTCGATCTGTCTCTGCTGTAGTAGTCGCCCACACGACTGGCCATGCCTCGAGCAGTGCCGATGATCACATCGGTGCAGTCCATGGGATTGAAATCGTGACGAGGTGTGTAGGGATTCAGTTTGTACTTGGCATCTGGAAAAGGAAGAAGAATAACAACAATCTTTTAATACCAAGTGAAAATATTGGTATTTTGCGAGGGTGTCACAGCGTTCGGTTGGGGGTTAGTTCGTGGATGTGTGACAACTCCGAGAATTTGTAGGAGTTTTCACGAGCGAAGCAATGTGTTATGTGTGTGTGTTAGTGTTCGATGAATGAAAATATACCTGGGTTTTTCTTTTGTGGTGCAACATTTTGTTTGATAGGTGCAGACTTGGGTTCGGGCTCAGCAGAGGGTTCCTGTTCGGGTTTGGAGAATGGCTTCGGTTTTGGTCTGCCATTTGATCTGGGCTCGGGTTCAGATGTAGGTTCTGGTTCCGACTTTGGCTCTGGTTCAGATGAGGGTTCCGGTTCTGACTTTGGCTCTGGCTCAGATGAAGGTTCGGGCTCTGATTTGGGCTCGGGTTCAGATGATGGTTCCGGCTCAGATTTGGGTTCAGGCTCCGACGATGGTTCCGGCTCAGATTTGGGTTCAGGCTCCGATGATGGTTCCGGCTCTGATTTTGGTTCTGGTTCGGATGATGGTTCAGGTTCCGATTGAGGTTCTGGTTCTGAAGTTGGCTCCGGTTCCGATTTTGGTTCCGGTTCAGAGGATGGTTCTGGTTCCGGTTCCGATTTTGGTTCAGGTTCCGAGGTGGGTTCCGGTTCGGATTTTGGTTCAGGTTCAGATGTGGGTTCGGGATGTGACTGTGGCTCATATTGTGTATCTGTTCAATATTTGTTCAGAATTATTAAGAGGGAGAGAGAGAAAGCGTTTTCAGAGTATGTGCAAATTGTAAGCAAAGGTGCAGCGGTGCAATACTGTGCAATGTAATGTATTCTAAGCACTGTATTGTATTGAGGAAAATTGAGACGGGAAAAAGAAAACAAAACTGATTGCACTTACCTGGTACATCGCGTCTACGGCGTCTTGCATCATCTTCAAAATGAGTTTCACGTTTAGATTTTGTGGCGGACGAAGGTTCTGGTTCAGATTGAGGTTCGGGTTCTGAAGTAGGCTCTGGTTCAGATTGGGGTTCTGGTTCTGATTTTGGTTCAGGCTCTGACTTTGGTTCAGGTTCCGAAGATGGTTCTGGCTCTGATTTGGGTTCGGGCTCCGAAGAAGGCTCGGGTTCTGACTTGGGTTCAGGTTCGGAGGCGGGCTCTGGTTCTGATTTTGGTTCCGGCTCAGAGGATGGTTCGGGTTCCGACTTGGGTTCGGGCTCTGATGATGGTTCGGGTTCAGATTTTGGTTCAGGTTCTGCAGAAGCTGAACCGGAACCGGAACTTTCAATGGTTGTGGTCAAATCCCCAATATCTCTAATCAGGGGGAAATTCTTACATTCCTTTGTCGAAGATCGTGGTCTCCAGCCAACACCAACCCATGTTGTACTGTTCACTTTCAGTACAATTTCAATTTCTTTTTGCTCTTCCATCAGACGCCAGTACATCTGATAGTCAGGCGACAGTTGTTTCATCGAGTAGGCAGACAGGTCCATTTCCGTGGTTTTGTAGGGCGATCTCTTGTTACAGCTGGGTCCGAACCAACCGAAATTACAGAAACATTGCTTACGTGGCAAAGTTGTTCCCTGAATGTCAATACATTTCCCTTGGATGCCACAATCGGCATTGCTGGTACACTCGTCCTTGTATTGGCACTGGGGTCCATAGAAACCCTTTTCGCATTTGCAGCGAGAGGGGAAATATTTGCCATTACCTGAGCAAGTTTCCCTAAAATCTTTACGAGTAAGAATATCAATATCGGCACAGGACCAGAAGAGATAGTCCGTTGACCATTCCACAGCTTGTCGTAGCAGACGTATGGAACAGTTGCGACACTCCATATCAGCGGGCAGTGACACTTCATGGCTTTGGGCACTAAAACAAAATTGTAATAATAAAGGAAATCTTCTCTATCGGCCATTGTCGGAGGGGTACTTACGTGGAATCGTGTTTTAGAAAACCACTACTATCACCTTGCGGAGTCAGCTCAATCATTGGCCTCTCAAAGTTATCCAATAGTTGTAGGCGATAGCCACCCTGCAAGTAATAAAAAGGGAGTACTCGTTACTAAAACTCTTCTCACTGATGGCTCTTTCAAACGCATTGTAACAGGCGATACCATGTAAACATTCCCCTGACATGCTCACATCTAATTAGACTACTTAAGTTTGAAAATTTTTAATTTTGTTAGCATGCCAGCTTAAGTTTTAATGAACTTCAACGAGCGACTAAAAATCTTCAAGTCTATGAAAATAATGTTATGTTGTCGTCGACCTCCATTTACGGCAAAATGTAACGTCTAGAATGCCAAAAACCCCATTTTCAGGCAGTACCTCAATTAATGAGCTTGCACTCAGTGTTTACTGCCCTACACCAAGACACCACCCAATCTGCCATCATCGTGGTACTGATTTTTGCTTTTTGCAGAAGAGAAGGCGATATGTGGTAAGGTTTTAAAACCACCAACAACAGTTTTGCAACGGCCACACACACTCTGACGCTAGAACTTCGGATGGCGGAAGAGGAAAGCCGTTACCAAAATAATGAATGTTAAAACAATGAGTCTGTGTCATAATCAGCAGCATGAAATTAGCGAAGCAATCTTGGGATAAAGGGTGTTACAAATACGATGCAAAATTAACTGCAATGTTTTGCCATGCGACGAAAGTTTAAAAATGTTTTCAAAGTTAATTTTCAATGGAAACAAGGTATGCGAAAAAGAAATGGGGAAACGACGAAAGTCAGGCGGGTCGATACCCTAAATAGCTCTGCGTATTTAGAAGTGGTGTGCGCATCTGCAGTCCAAGATTCATATAGCTGGGAAATCGTTGAAAAATCATTTATGACAATTTTTTTTAGTAAAGGCAGAGAACGATATTTTTGATTTTCGCAACTGACCTTAGTTTGATGCAAAGCCCGAATCGTTCGTATTCGAATGTATTCGTGTTAATTTGAGTTTATATAAAAGTTTTGATAGTTCTCGTTCATTTCCGAAAACCTTTGATATGCCAGTGTTTTTTATAACCATAATTTTGTTAATTTTTATACCCTACACCACAAGTTGATCAGGGTATTATGTCTTTGTGCATTTGTTTGTAACAGACAAAACGAAACGAGATAGACCCATATTTCCATTTGATCTGAATAGAATCACATTCTGAGTCGATTTATGCATGTCCGTCAGTCCATGTATTTTTGTGAACAAAGTACAGTTCGCATTTATTACCCGATCCTAATGAAATTTCGCACAAATCATTTGTTTGGCCTAAGGACGAACCCTCCCATATATATCTTCGTCCGATTTGCCTTTTATTGTGCACCAAACGTGTAATATCAGCCCGAATAGTATGGAATTTTTCACATACGATCAGATTGGACCTGAAAATAAGTATGCCAAATATCCATATGCCATATATATCAAATGGGCAATACAAGTCGGAATTTAAAAGATACAAATGCCTTTAATCATAGCGTGTATGATTGAATTCTACCATAAAAACTTTTAATTGTTATGCGGAGCTCTACTAAATTAGCAAAGTGGTGTAGGGTAAGATAAAGTCGGCCCCGCCCGACTTTAGGACTTTCTTTACTGGTTTATTTAAATTCTTAGGAGTTGTGCTGTTTGTGGCAACCCAAATGAGTTTGAATTTTATCAAAAAAAAATTGAACAAGTAAAAAAGCAGTAAGTTCGGTCGGGCCGATCTTTGAATACCCTCCACCTTTTGGAATTAATTTGGCAATTTTCAAAAAAATAAAATCCGTTAAAAATTCTGTTAATGTAGCCGTATATTAGGGTATGTACGACAACGTGGACCTGCATAGGTAAGTTTTCTCATAAGTCATTAGAATATACAAATGCGAAACTCAAAAAAAAAAAAAAAAAAAAATGGGGAATAATGTCGCTCAAATCATCAAAATACCGAATATCGGGGGTACCGTTATATGGTGGCTATACGAAGACGTGGACATGCACAGACAATTTTCTGTCATAGGCTGTAGTATCCATTATGAACTTCAAACACCAAATTTGAAACAATTCCGGTGAACAATGTCGCTAAAATCATCAAAATACCGAATATCGGGAGATACCGTAATATGGGGGCTATACGAAGACGTGGACCTCCACAAACAATTTTCTGTCATTGGCTGCAGTATACCTTACGAACTTCAAATACCAAATTTGAAACATTTCCGGTGAATAACGTCGATTAAATATATCCCATCTTCTCACCACATAACGTGTGTGTGAAATTTGAAGAGAATCGGATGTTTATTTTGCGTTCTATAACCCATTGGCGGGAAGTGCCGGATGTAGTAGTTCCTTTCAAACTCGACACATCGTAATATTTTAATTTTTTATTTGAAAGGAATTTGATGCTTATATCGCGTTTTATCAGGTACCAGAAGGAGTGAAAATATTGAGATGTACGAAATTTAAAGGTCATACCAAAACGGGAACCTCTATAGACAATTTTATACTTCAAGGATTGTCATCTACTTAATCTTCTTAAATATCAAATTTGAAACAATTTCGTGGGTAAATGTGACTAGGATTATCAAAATAACGAATATTGGTGGATATCGTTATATGTGCGCTATAGGAAAACCTGCTAGCTAGAACCTATTACGAACTACAAATACCAATTTTTAGATAAATCCGAGGAAAAATATCGAATATCGGGAGGTACCGTTATATGGGAACTATACAAAAACGTGGACCTATACATACAATGTCGAGCCACCGGAGAACCTGTGCTAAAAATACCATTTTTAGACAAATCCGTGAAAAAATGTGTCGAAAATGATTAAAATACCGAATATCGAAAGGTACCGTTATATGGCGACCATACTAAAATGTTGACTGATATATCTCATTTCCAATAATAACCATCCTAGACACAATACAGATTGTTCTTCCAAGTTTTGAATCTCTACGTCAAACAATGTGGGCTGTACCGTGATTTCCAAAGATAGACGGACATAGTTAAATCGACTTAGAACTTTATGCTGACTAAGAATATATATATACAATATGGGGTCTATGACGAATATTTAGGGATGTTACAAGCGGAACGACAAAGGTAATGTACCCTCCTTTTCAATGTGTAGGGTATAAAAAAATATGTTAATTACGTTTTGTTATAGACATCTAACTGAAAGAGCCAATCAGAACTCATTCTTTCTATTTAGTAGAAGTGCTGATTCCACTGCTCTTGCTGAGAGTTTGGTAAGTACTTATGTTCTATGACATATGCATCTTAAAAAAATCTTAAGAATACTATTCCATAAGTAGTTACCAATACCTAATTGTACTTTAAAAGCTCATTATTTGGTAGACTTTAAATTTAATCACTGCCGTTTAACAAATGCAATTCGTGGATTTTTCCTTGGGTGTAGTTACAGTTTGTGATTTGTTGGTTGTAGTTGTTCGTTCCCATTGTATTCAATTTCCATAATTTTTGTTGATTTTTTCCAACTCGATAAACAACAAATTGTTGTTGGAGGATGTGTCACATCATCGTTTTTCATATAAATCTTCCATTGTGTCTATTATCGTCAGCAAAAAATCATCTATTATCAGTCTCAGTCTCACATTGTAATTTTATTAATTTGATCGTGGGCGCTACCATTTGGAGATGTCATTTCGCGGCGCTTTACAAATTCGGAACTAAGTGGGGAAAATATCCCATGAAAAACTCTAAATGAACTAGGGATGGAGATTGGCTAACGTTAGAAGAGACAATACTATATTTAAAATTACCCGGTCATACAAGTGAAAAGGGATATGCTTGAATATTCGAAATACTGTCAGGATATGAAGTTATCTGTATTCCCAAACAAAAATATTCAGAGATTTAAAGCAAAGAAAATAGGCCGTTTTGAGTGTACGTATGTCAGATAAAATGGATGTATATTACATACGACCTTTAAGTTTGTTTCCCACTCAAGAAATATGTTCAAATGTCTCAGTAGATTTTGCCGACAGATCTATGCCTTCGTATTTTACTTAATTTTGGACCCAATTGAGAGTTATAATTATTTAAAATTTTGAACTTTAGTAGGGGAGGTAATGGAAGTATGGACCGATATTGTCGCAGCTAATCTAAGTTGAATACAGATATTGCGATATGCAAAGATATGTGTCAGGAGGTACAAGAGAAAGTGAACCGATATATCCCATCTTTACGTTAAGAAAATGTTATATATACAGGGTGAGATGAAAAAACTGCAATCAATTTCAGACAACTGCCATTTTTAAGTCACTCGTTCGACAGCTGTTAAAATTATTCCAGTGACAGCTCATTATATTGTTTATGAGCGTATTAAAGCATTTTGGTGAGAATTTTCCAGAAATAAAGTTATTGGTGATGGAATTCAGGCGTGAATTTCTTTATATTTAGCTGGAAAACCACAAATGGCTATCGTTAGAGAACTCCATCATTTAAATGTGAATAAATCTTTGTGTGTCTCGTGCCATCGCTCGTTACCGTGATACTGGTAGCGTAGACCGACGTCAAGGAAGTGGACGGAAGAAAACAGCAACATCAGCAGAAACGGTTCGAAAAGTAAAGAAGCGATTTGATCGAAACCCGCGTCGCAGTGACCGAAAAATGGCTCGTGAGTTGAACATATCGCAATATTCCACTCGGCAAATATTGAAAAATGAGCTCGGGATAAAGCCATTGAAATTGCAAGAACTTACACCGCAACAGAAAGAAAAAGCTTCGCTTGGCCGAAAGTGGTGACCTGCCGAACTTGGTTTTCTCCGATGAGAAATCATTCGTTGTCCAGCAGTTTGTAAACAAACAAAATGCTCGTGTTTACTTGTCAAAGAGATCAGCTTCGGTTGGCCACCAGAACTAAAGTGCCGGCCATGGTGATGGTGTGGGCCGCCATAACAGCAGATGGTCGCTCTCCGCTCGTATTAATCAGAATAAATGCCGAATATTAAGCGAAAATATTCTGAAGGGTGTATTAAAGCCTTGGGCACGCAAACATTTTGGCCGCAGACCTTGGATATTCCAACAGGACTTAGCGCTACCCAAGAATGGTTGCAAAATGAATGGTTCATTTCCAGCGCACAATGGCCACTAAAATCTCCGGATACCAAACTGTTGGACTATTGTGTCTGGAGTATTTTGGAAAGCAAGGTTGGCACTAAAAAATACCAAAGTGTCGATTAACTCAGGGGTGCGCTTCGCCGGGAATGGGCCAAAATACAGCAGAGCAACATTCGGGCAGTGTGTGACGGTTTCATTGGCCGTTTGATGGCCATAATTTGAACAAATCTAAACTCTTTCTTAAATTTGATGCTATTTCCGAAATTTTTTGCTTTCATTCAATAAAATTAAAAAAAAATAAATAAATATTATGGCGCTTGACTTTGTTGCAGTTTTTTTATCCCACCATGTATTGATAAGTTTGATGAATATCGGCAACATATTTCAGATTTCATTAGAGTTATCGGTATCAAGTGTTGGTCCTTTTTTAAAGTTGCTATCAGACGATAAGGGTTTTACATATGCAGTGTCAAATTTTCCATACATAAAAGTTATACACGTCATGTGATACATGGACAGTATTTCAGTTGTGAAATACATGAGTAAAGTACATATGTACCTTTTCGATAATATCGAGTCCTATTTTCGTCCAAACAATATAATTTAATCAAAAGTGTTGTTTTTTATCGTGGATTAAAAAAAATTGCGGTAAAAAGTATTTTAAGTATTTTAATTTTTTAGAAAATACAATAAAATCACATTTGAACCAAAAGAACAAAAAAAAAAAAAAAAACATATGGAAATGTGTATAAGTTATATGGAAAATGGTAATTTGCTCCTTCTAAGTTGAATAGAAATATCTATTAACGTCGTTCAATAACGGACATACGAATTTAAAAACAATGTCAAGCTTAAATACAAGGAATTCCATCCAGAATAACTATCAACTTCACCAGCTGACTTACGATCTTAAATGATCAGAGTTTCACAGACAGCCAACAAAGGCGGTAAAAACTAGACGCAAAAAAAACTAGACTAAAGCAAGACGTAGTATACACAAAAAGGCGACTCATGGCGACATTTGCTTTCGAATAGATGCACTTGCATCTCCGGCAATAATTTAATTTTCATTGACATTCTATTTCAGTGTCGAGCGAGATAAGTTGTTAGAGTCGGATATTTTAGACTTATATCAACACTCAAATCGAAAAATGCAGTGCATTCGTGTGACAACTCCTTTGACATGGCTACTAAGTGTTTTTGCGATAATAATAGGCTTCTCGAACATAGCTGCTGGACTTGAATGCTATACCTGCAAGGGTATTAACTGTCAAAGACCATCGAAGGTCAATGAGACAACCGTCTGTGCCAACAAATGGGATGAGTGTGTTACCATCTTCAGTGGATGTAAGAATGATTTTATTAAATACTTTTTTTTTTGAAATTTAAATAAGAAAAGGAATAAAATTTGGCAGTGAGCGTAATTGAGAGAGGTTGTTTCACATCCATTCCCGAGGAACATCTTAAGAGATGTACCGATGGGCCGATCAGTAAAGAATGCCACATGTGCTTTGGAAATCTCTGCAATAATCGGGGAGCAGCCACGTGTATACATTGCAGTGCAAAGAACGTAAGATAGGACCCACATTTCAGAATCTCTCCTCCTCTAAAGAGAAACAATTCTTTGTTTCCTTTTTTTAGAACAAAGAATGCCTGGAATACCACTGCCCAGTGCCAGAAGGAGACAACACCTATTGTTATTATCGTTCTCTTGCTAATGGTCGCAGCGAAAGCGGTTGTTTGGCACGCCTCGAGGACCAACTTAAATGTCAACAAGACAACCAATGTGAAATGTGTCTTTCCACCCCGGACAGAGCTTGTAATGGAGGAATGATACCATCAACGTCCAGTGGGGCTAATCAAATTTTTGCAAATAGTTTGTTTATTATTGTTATATTTGCTCTATGTAGTTTATTTACAAAATTGTAAATTATACAAATTGAATACGATTTTGATTGAGAGGGTGTGTAATAGTAATAGAAATGAACATTGTTAAAAGGTTTATTCATTTTCAAAACGAGATATAACAAGCAAAAAAGGAGTGAGCTCAGCCGGGCTGAACGTTGAATACCCATCACCATTTAGAAAAAGTTTGCCAATTTTCCAAAAAAAAAAAAAAAAAAAAAAAAATCGTTGAAAAATGCTACCAAAATCATAAAAATACCGAAATTGGAAGTTACAGTTATATTGTGCCCATTCGAAGACGTGGACCTGTAAATGCTAATTTCGTCATAGGCCATTACCATATTCAAATATGAAATGTTAAACAATTTCGGTGAATTATGACGCTAAAATCATCACAATATCGAATATAGGGATCTAGCGATATGTGGGGGCTATCCGAATTTTCAGTTACAGGCTGTAGCACCCATTATGAACTTAAAATATGAAATTTGAAACAATCCCGGTGGATAACAACAACTAAAATCATCAAAATACCAAATAATTGGAGGTACAGTTATATGTACAATATATCAAAACTTAGACCTTCAAGAATTTTTGTTACATAATCGGAACATATGCTGTCAATTTACAGAAATTTTGGGTACAAAAATACTTTTTTAAGAGGATCTCAATTTAATGAAAAATCCTACTTCTGACTTATGCTCAATTTATTCACGACCTCGATCAGATCATTGAAACCTACGTTCGGCGATTTGAAAACGATTGATGTACAAGCTTTATCACGAATGGCCGTTCGAAATTCTGCCAGTTACCTCGCAGACCCAACTAGTTTTTGGATCAGTTCCGATGAACGTAGGACTGAGATGTGAGCGGACCAGGTGTAGTCATAGTTTTAGCATGGGTTTTTAACGCTTAATATAATCAGTATACCGATTATATTAAGCGTTAAAATAGATTGGCGTTGGAGATGATTACATACCATTCTCCTATCGTGTCATTTAGCAGTTCTATCACTTTAAATGGCTTCTACGTGGACAACATATTTCTTTGGCTGTATAGTGGGTATGTCAAAATCTGGACGCTCTTTCACGGCAGCCAGTCCGTTATTCCCAACATAGCTCTGAAATAGGACAGGGACTATAATTGAGTCCTGATTCTAGGGTATGGTTCCCATACTAAAGCGGGACTCTAATCCCGCTCAGTGTGATAATTATATTCCTATTTTTCGGTTGTCGCATTTTGGAAAGTTATACGAATCCTTTAATTTGACGAGGAAATGAAAATCCTGCCATCCAATCCATTCCTTAACGACTTGAAAAGCATAGTTCGAAAAGTCTTCGACAGAATGTGCGGATCTAGATATCGCTAGGTTATGTTTTGATTATGTCGGGCATAATGACATTTTATATAAATTCCAGTCGTTTGGCTTAATAGACAAACCTGTTGGCAGGTATTTGAGGATGTTATATAACATATTATCTTGTTACATCGGGTCATAGCCCTCTGGCGGTCAACTCCTGATATATGTCGATGATGCCCTGCTAGCATTATTTTTGGTTCTTTTGCTAGACCCGTCGATACTTCGTTAGCAAGTGCCTAAAGTTTAATGTAGGCCATATTCCACGATAGTTTTAGGAGGTTTTAGCTAGATCTAAATATAGATTCAGACCAGGCTTAAATATTTGAGGGTAGTATTTTTGAAGAGGTTTGACTGTATTCGTGGTATAGACTTAGGCTAGTTATACCCTCTAACATGGAAAGTAGGGTATATTTAATTTGTCATCCCGTTTGTAACACTTCTAAATATTCATTGTAGACCCCATAAAGTATATATATTCATATACCAGTATCTCCCGATATTCAGTACTTTGATGGTTTTGCCACATTTTTCAGCGGATTTGTCTAAAACTTGATATTTGTGGTTCTTAATGGGTTCTAGCATCAGTGGCGGAACACTGTATACATTGTAGTTTAAAATGAAACACAATGGCAGAACTTAATGTTTTTACTTGATTTTATTTTGGATATATTGGCATCTTAAAGATGGTGGTCTTTCCCAAGAAATTATTCTCTGAATCTTCCGGTAGGTTATTAAATTGATCATCGCCTCAGCCTTCCCTGTCTGGTTTGACATTTCGCTTCATTAGATAAAAAGGATCAGTAGAACAGACGACGTTGAATCCGTAGAACAGATAGGGCGTAAGGTGATAGAATAGACGTCTTGATGACAAGAACTGCTTTGACCTTCTTGGATCAGTTAGATACTAGTATCGGCAAGGGTATAATTAGATGACTTGAGAGTCAAGGCTTTAGAACTTGTAGTAAAAGCCTAGGTGTTGAAAGAATTCTTTTAGTATGGTTGAAATATGTAAGAAAACTCAATTTGGGTGTTTTTATCCTGAGTACAAAACCCGAGTGACTAATGTCGGAAGATTCGATTATTTAAGGTTATAACCTTTGCACATTCAGAAAGGTTGCTTAACTTCAAAAAAATAACCTAACCTAAATGTCAAATAGACTTTTAAATAAGCGAAGATTGGTTTTGTTTATTTTACATTTTTTTTGGGGAAATACCACAAAACATGAATGGAATGTTGGCTTTATTCCACAAAATTGAATCTAAGATAGTTAGACAATACAGTTTTATCCCAAAATTTTACAATTTGTTAACCTCGAAAATAAGCATTTTTTGCAACTGAATTTGAAATAATTCCAAATTATTGTATTCAAAACAATACACGCACATATACAAACAGTGTTTATGTTTTGACAGAATAGGGGCACCAAAAGAAAAATATGGAATTTGGGAGGAAGCTTTGTTCTACCTTCTACAATTGTGCCGGGCAGAGCATTTCCCTCAGTGTGAATTTGGCAATTATCTTTTTTACTAGTTTTACCATTAAAAGTATGACGAATGATATTACAAATTTTCCGATTAAGATTTTATCCAGAAACATTAAATAACTCGAGAAATGGCATTATTCAAGTTCATTAAATTAATTCAAAACAATATTGATTTAAATTATTTTACATTTGTTTTTGAATTTAAACATTTTTAATGATTCACAAACCCTCCACAAATTTACAAACGGTAAGCCCTGGACCCGGGTGTAAAGTCGGCAGCATTGCAGGCATTAATATCGCCAGCCAGGCACAACATACAGTTGGCATTGGCATAGCAGGATTGCTGATCAGCCACAGTTGTTGAACAGCCACGCTTGACCGTATTGCCATCGTACTGGACATAACAATAGGAATTGGGTGCAGTTGGTGATCCGCAGCGAGTTGCCACTAAATCAGTTGGAGCTGAAGAACATTTCGAGTCCTGATGAAGAAATTAAATTTTCAATATGAATTTGGCATTAAGTTTTTGGTTTCTTAAAATTGTCACCTGGCTGGAGTCGCATTGAATGCATTTGAATTCAGCTTGACCCAAATTGTTACAACGATCCGTATTACATTTATGGCATTCGGCAGTGTTGGCATCACAGCGACGACGCAGATGTTCTGGTACTTCATACGAACATCCCTTTTGCACAACATTGACTATAAAACGGTTAAAGGGAAACCTTTTTTTAAAGAACTATTGTGAAAATTTAGTTTGACTTACATTTCTCAAAGACGGTGACACAAAAATCCAAGGGATCTGAACATTGTTTGGTTGGTGCCACCGAGGTGCGCATGCAGTTGATACCCTTGCATGAATAGCAAGTCCTTGGCGTATTGGCCGTTATGGAGTCCAACAGACCCAAAACTAATACTGATAACAAAACAAATTTCAAATGCATTTTTGGCTCGTAGCTGAACTGAACAGAATTTTAGACAACACCGGTATCCTTGTATGGTCTGACGGTGCACCGTCTTTTATAAATTCATGCCATTTGTTTTGCCAAAGCTTAATCATGTTGGCGATGCATTCGAAAGCACTTGATGGTTTTATCTTTCGATAGACTCTCCACAGCTCTGGAGTACTATTTTTTATCTGGGCTCAAAATCAAAATAATCAATGGTAACTAACAAAACAAAAATAAACACATACGAGGTCAATATTTGTAGAGGGTTGTGTGCGGGAACACACAAAAATACATACATACATATTGGGCTGTATCATTAAGCTTCCGCATGTAGGAAGACATTTGACAGCTTTCTGATTACTCATTCACATTAATGGATACAAAGTGTTGAACTGTATTTTTTTGGTAGTACATTAAGTAGGCTATAATGCGTATAAAATCAAGGCCATTTTAGTGTTTTTTTTTATTTCAATAACACACATCAATAAATTGCCAAATATTGAAAAATATTGAACTATGCATTAAGATATTCAAAATTGTAAACCTTTGTGGGGATGTACCAGAAGGAGTGGATAGATATATACCATCTTCAGAACAGATCTTTTGTTAGTGGAATTAATGGGTTGTATGAAATATAAAGAGATCCTGATGATTATTTCGGATTTTATAAACGTTTTGGATATTTAAAACCTTGACCCTTTGTGGGAGGGGTACCAGAAGGAATGGTCCGATCTCTACAGTTTTTTATAACAGATCCTGTGTTGATAGAAATATTCAGATGTGCCAAGTCTAAATGGAGTCGGATATTTATTCCGCGTTTTAATGTTCAAATGAGTATTCAAAATTTCCACCTTTTGTGGGGAGGTACCAGAAAGAGTGGACCGATATATTTCATCTTAACACCAGAGCTCGGGTTAACAATATTATTGGGATGTGTGAAATTTGAAGACAAGCGGGATCTTACATCACACTTTATAAGACTTGTATTATTCAAAATTTGTACCCCTTGTGGGGGAGTTATTTGATGGAGTGGACCGATATTGTCCATTTTCGCACCTGACCTAGCACTGACGCAAATATTAGGATTCGCAAAGTTGGGGCAAAATCGGAGTATCCTTTCTCCTTCTGGGCAATAAATTATTTTCTTTGAAAATTTTGACATTGTGTGGGAGGATCAAATCGGATACTCCCTTCAAAATATATTTTTGGGGATCAAAAAATTACGCATGTGCAGGTGCAAAACTTAAAAAGATTTTTGTGATCCAATTCATTCTAATGATAAAACAAGGCATTTCGATTGGAGAGAACTACTTTGTCCATAAAGTACGGGAACGTAAAACTAGTCAAAATTTCATGGCAATTTCTCCAAATCAACATATCGGCCAATCGGAAGCTGTCAACGTCACTACTATTTTTTACCCATTAAAATTTACATAGTAAAAAATTGAGAATTTCATATTTGAATTTGTTCTTTTCTTCTCTTACATGTTCGTGTACTTAAGTAAAATATGTAAAAAATAGTACAATATCGTACTATATTGCATGTTCTGGAACACAACTATTATTAAAAACAATGTTTAATAATTGTTTAAAGAAGAAACTTGTAATCCAATACCCACAACAACCAGCGTCATCGCTTTTAATTAATTGACCATAAAATAAAACAAATAAAATGCATAAATGATTACATTAAAAGTACCAATAAAACACTTTCAAAACTAAGTGATTTTAGAAAAATGTCATTGTTTATCACAACAACTGAAAACTAAATACTTAACCACTGGGTGGAGCGGAGAGCAATTATTAGAGAGGAGAGTTAATAATTAAAATCAATTATAATTTAAACTAGCAATATTGGAATTTTTTATATTGAAATGGTGGTAAAAAAATGTTTCGAAATATTGAAACGGATAATTTGGAACGATATCATTCATATGACAAACAATCGCCTGTTATTTAAGACTCAAAACAAATTTTGAGAATTAAAAGAAAGTTAATAATTCAGAGCAATGTTTATCCATCTGAGAGGATATTTAAACATAAATTTAGAAATTTTCCATGTATGAATTGTCTTGACAATATACCCTTATATGGTGACTCCATCATAATTTTACCTTCAGTCTTATAGCTACAGACATGGAAGACGTTAGGGGCAAATATATAAAATAACATTTTCTTATAGGAGGATTATATTTGCCCCAACTTGTATATGTGTGCCATAACGTGGAAGGAAATTTTCAAATTCAGCTTTTCGTTCAACGAAGGTAAAAATATTAAAATTTTTTTTGAATTTTGAATTCATTTATCCTAAAAATATACCAAAAGTGCCAAGTGGAAGAAGTAAAGTTTGAATGCTTACATCTGACATGGGTATCACTGCGTGCATAAAGCGTGCGAAAAGGACAGGGTGTATGAAAACTTGGTCCAGACTAAAACTTCAAAAGTATTAAATGCACTTTTGAATCTGGAATCTTGAAATTTTACATGTAGGCCACAACTGACTTAGGATATAAGATAATATTGCATTTTTGAAAAATTAACTAAATTAAAGAACTAAATCGGTGTTAATAGTACTAAAATTCTGTACTTTTAGAGCTAAGGTGTTGAAATTTATAAACTATTGATGGGACCTATGTTGAGATTTCGAAATTCGTACTAACATTTTAAAATCCTACGAAATTTGATTAATTCTTATCAAACTTCAATATTGAAGTCTAGTCTAGGCTTGAATTTTGAAATTCATGAAATTCTCAAGCAGGTTCACGTCTTCGCATAGTCCCCATGTAACGTTTTTCATTTAAGTGGTAGTTTTCGAAAATTTTTGGAAAATTTTCAAGTTTCTTCCAAATGGTGGAGGGTATTAAAAGTTCGACCCAGCCGAACTTAGCTTCTTTTTCACTTATTTTTGTTAATTTTTCGTAAAATGTTTCCTCAGATCTGAAAAACTTTTGCATATGTGTTTTTTATGTCTTGGCTTAATTTTATTCTTGTCATTATTTCAAGAATTTTATGCAAAATGATTTGGAACTGTTTTTGGCCGTAGCCACGAGATTGTGCGAAATTTCGTGCTAACAATATTTGAAAACTTAGATTCCTGTATATATTTTGCCTTATTTCAAATATTCGAATCTATACGTTAACGAGATCAGCATCAATGTAAAACTCAGAAGTGTCATTTCCAAAAATCGTTAATTTTATACTTATTATCTCCAAAATGTTTGTGTTTCTTTTGAACAGACGGACCCAGCTCGTTGATATGTTGATGATCGGTATGGCATACATAGTGTGTTTATGATAAAAGAAGTAAAATTTTACAAATTACTAGCTCTATACAAATAGATTTTAATGACGTGAAGACAGACTTAGCTTTCGGGGATCAGTAGAGTTTCACAATTGTTGTTGGAAATAACTAACCGTGCCTACACAGAGAACAGTAAAAATTTTCGATTTGGATTATCTAAAAAAATTGGGAAAGGTTGAAACAATTATTGCCATTGCCGGGAATTTTAGAAATCATGGAAAATTTCCTTCTGCGAATGTAATGCGAATTAATCAACAGCACTCTATGACGATTTGTTAGAATTGACTCTCGAGCTCTTATCTTCATGGTTGATATTCGTTCTGATGACAAATGCCACGGGCAATATGGTTAATGTAAACACAGATATATTGCCAATTGCAACAACTCTCAAAAGGGGCCACTTGAAATCTCTATCTCTATCGATTTGAAAATTCAATTGAGTGTATGTAACCACGGTGTATATTATCAATACTGTGGCGAGTATTGCCTTCAATGCATTCTCGGAAGCCATAAAATGCAGTTAGCTTTGGGTCATCAAACCACCGGCCGTTTTTGTGGGGGAAACAAACTCCTGGTTTTGTTCCTGTTTGCCACTCTACAAATTTACTCGATTGCGGCGCAACGTTCCTGTTACCAATGCCAGGGTATCAATTGCCTGCGCTCTACATATAAAAGTGTGGAAACCTGTTCGAATGGTGTGGATATTTGTGCCACAGTCTATGATGGCTGTAAGTTGTGAAGGAGAGCTCATATGAGAGGAGTTGGAAAATATTTTTATTCGTTCTTTTTTTTGAATTTGTAGCAACAATTCAAGCTCAAGGTTGCTTGGGAAATCTAGCAAAACATTTACGCACCAAATGTGATTCGGATGATGCTGATGACCTTCCCGAGTGCCACAAGTGTAATGAAAATCTTTGCAACAAATGGGCAGCCGATGTATTCGAATGCGTTCAATGTGATTCGAGTTCGGTAAGTAGGAGATGAAGATCCATAAAGAACAACAATAATATTAGGATTTTTTTGGCCAGGACTCTAAATGTTCCAACAATGTTGATGCTTTGCAACCCACTCGCTGTCCCATAAGTCGCACCGCGAACATGTATTGTTTTGCTACCAAGGATGGCAATCGTGTAGTACGTGGTTGTACCTCAACATTGGAAGAACAGAGGGCTTGTTTGGCTTCGGAAAAATGTGAGATGTGTGATCCAAGTGAATTGGGTTCTTGCAATGGCGTAAGAGCCGATGGTGGTAGTGGTGGTGGTGGTGGAAATAACAATAGTACCTCTGTGCCACCAACGGAAAAGCCCCAGCCCAGTGCTGGACCAACAATAGAATTTAGCATAGCTAGTTGCTGGGTCATTCTTGTCGCTTATCTTTGCAAGTTGTTGTAATTGAAAAATATGTAATATTAATATATTATATTTGGGCATTGTTCAGTAGAGCTCGGCTTTTCATAAGTTTTTTTTTCGAAAATTAAAATTACAAAATTTGTTTTAATGAAAACTTGGAATAAAATATATAGCCATACTATTTCATATTTAAAACTTGTACATAACAAATTAGTTTTAATCAATTAATAATTATTAAATATGCAAAATCTGGGATCTATTGATCAGTCAATCAATTGCATGAACTTACCCGGTGAGGATACGCCAAGTGCCATGTGACGTTGAATTTGGTGCCAGCCAAGAGTGACGTTCTTATGGAACCTGAAAGAAAATAGGGATTTGTAATATTTCAAAATATTTAGTTTTTCCTTTATGCAACATATATTTTTTTCTATCTATTCGGCTTAACTATGATCCAGAAGTTCTGATTTTAACTATTTTCTTTGAGTTCTTTCCTATATTTCTTCATACCACATTAAAGTAAGCTCGTAAAGAAATAATTTCACTTGGAAAGTTCTCAGGTGTGTTCATTAACCGAAATCCCAAAGAAGAAAACAAGATCATCATGGATATCAGTTTCAAGATTTACGAACTAATCAAGCTTAGTATTGTTAGAAAGACAGCAGACAACTTGGTTATGTTTTACACAAGCAACCTGTTCAATTTTCCCCGTACACATGTGTGTGTATATGTGTGCGTGTGAAAATGTGTGTTTGTACATGAGTGAAAAATTGAAATCTTTCAACGGGAATAATCAAAAACTAAGAATATTAAATTGCAATCTTATTATAGACTTTTCCGCATTTACGATGTGGCATAAGCGTTATGGTGTACGAGGGTAGTTCTTTGCTACATGTATTTTTGCAATTTTAGATTTGGAAATTGTCATTTATTCATATTCCATCGTCGGATTATAATTCTATACTTAAAGAAATAGAAATAAAGTAGTAAAAAACCATCTCTTCCGGTTCAGATATATCTATAGCTCCCATATATATGTGTCATCCGATTTAGGGTTTTAAGTCCCTTACATGCGTAATATGAACTCCAAAAGAGTGATATTTGGTACCAGGTAACTTTTGTAGCTCAAAATATCTCTGTCAAATTTTATCGATCGGATCAGATTTGGATATAGCTTCCATATATATCTTTATCATATATTAGGTTTATTGTGTACCAAATGGCTAATATCACAATGCATCTTAGAAACAAGTACTTAAAATTTGATGTTAATCGATTCAGATATAGCTCCCATATATATTTTTCATCCGATTTGGGGTTTTAAGTTCCTCATACACGTAATATGCACTCCACAACAATAATATTTGATATCGGATTTAGCACGAAAATACCTCTGCCAAATTTTATCGAGTTCTGTTCAGATTATACATCTTCATCCAATTTTACGGTTATTGTTCATCATTTATGTAGATTTTTCATATTCAAAACTCGGTCCGGTATATCTATTGCTCCAATAAAAATTACAAATATATTAATACTGATTTGTGCTATAGACAGGCATAGAGTCAGTTAGTTTTAATAAAGGTGTGCGTGACAGGAGCTTTCTTCTCAGTATGTTAGGGCGTTCCTCTTGGTACTTCAGGAATTGGTTCACTTTTCTTTTGTCTCCGGCTTGACTCCTTTCAAGGAATTTAAGAGCATTGTTCATCATGAAGACGACGATCCGGCTAAATTCTATAAAGTTATAGCGTTTATTGTACTATCATCGATTGTTGGTCTCATATCTTAACATGATGTCAATATCCTCCCTTCTCATATCCTTATTTTTTTTTATAAAAAAATTCTGTTTGTCGTAAGGCTGTAGAAATCGAATTTGTCGGGCATTATTATAACCTGCTATAGACAGGCATAGAGTCAGTTAGTTTTAATAAAGGTGTGCGTGACAGGAGCTTTCTTCTCAGTATGTTAGGGCGTTCCTCTTGGTACTTCAGGAATTGGTTCACTTTTCTTTTGTCTCCGGCTTGACTCCTTTCAAGGAATTTAAGAGCATTGTTCATCATGAAGACGACGATCCGGCTAAATTCTATAAAGTTATAGCGTTTATTGTACTATCATCGATTGTTGGTCTCATATCTTAACATGATGTCAATATCCTCCCTTCTCATATCCTTATTTTTTTTTATAAAAAAATTCTGTTTGTCGTAAGGCTGTAGAAATCGAATTTGTCGGGCATTATTATAACCTGGTGATTGTATCTGAAATTCCGAAGAATTCGTAAACAACGTTGGTGGAAGGAATGTAGCTCTGAACTTTTTGCTGTAGATTTTTATTGACTTTGCAAAACCACAGACATACACATTCACACGTTGAGGCTAAGTCTACATTCGTTGAAGCAACTGTGCTTCTATAACAACCTCGTAACCTCAATAAAATGTCATCGACGTAAAAGAGTCGTAATCCTCTTCCATGCGGCCCAGGGATGTCGCTGAGTCGTTTCTCTGACAGCTTGTTATCACACTGTCGTGAGAGATTCGATCCTTAAGAAAACTTCCAACTATGCGACAAGTTTGTCCTTTGAATCTATAAGATTGTATTCTGTATACGATGTCATATTGCCATACCGTATCAATGGCTTTGGTGAAGTCCAGAAGACAAGCTATTTTTCTCATTTTGGATCCAAAACCATCCCATGGATCCAAAACCATCAGTCTTCTGTGTGCAGGCAGGTCATGTTTCCCCATATAACGGATGATGAATGATGAATACTTCAACTTATGACGGAAAATTGTCCAGGTCCACGACTTCGCATAGCCCACATATAACGGTACCTCCCTTTATTCGGTATTTTGATGTCTTAGCAATATTATTCATCGGAATTATTTAAAATTTAAGAATATTAGCGACATTATTCAACGAAATTGTTTCAAATTTCGTATTTGAAGTTCGTAGAGGGTACTACAGCCTATGACAAAAAATTACTTATGCAGGTCCATAAATAGTACAGGTTCGTATAGCCCCCATATAACGGTTTTCATTTAAGTGGTATTTTTTGACGGATTTTTTTATAATATTTCAAGATCCTTCAAAATGGTGGAGGATATTAAAAGTTCGGTCCGGCCGAACTTAGATGCATTTTTACTTGTTTTCGACAAATGTTACCAAACCAGCAGAAGACAAAAAACTTAACAACAAGGTAAAAATCCCTCAGAAATACGTCGGTAGACGCGTGGAACTCAACTTAAGACTTTGAACAGATGTGTCGGACGTCCGATATTTGGTTCGGTGAATGTCCAATCTGTAATAAATTGAACAGCGAGCGTTTTCAGAATTAACAAGGAAGATATCGGCTTAAGGTTGGTCATGTCACGTAGAAAATATCGTTAAGGCTATAACAGAGTTAAAGTATCCAAGATTCAGTGCGATGGTCTTAAACTACCGGAAAATATGACGAAGAAAAACAAAAAATTCCCCATAGATAAGTAATTTAGCTCATATAGCTCCCAAGTTTATACTGGTTAGTCACTTGGTCTGAACATATTATTTCCTTCACGTTTTTTGGATAATTATTGTACATTTTGAACAATTTGTTGTCACTTCAACTCTCCAGATCACTGGATGCCCTTAAATTATTTTCACATTCGAGATTTGTTTTTAATCAAGAACTGATCTTTAACTTGTGAACCTATCCCTCATATAAAAGTGTTATTACCACACGAAATACCCGCCGTTATGCATGTGTTGGTTGTCTTTTGTTGTATTGTGATAATAGTGTTATTTATTCGGTTGCACCTGTGATCTAAATACCAAAAACTGAAGTGTTTACATGCAAACTGTGTGATAGATAGACAGATATACACTTTGGGAAAAAATTGAATGACTAATGACAGACTGTTCCTGATTGGGAAAATGATTTCGTTTTTAAGGCTTTTCCGAATTTTCCGCATTTTAGGCCTTCACCACGTATTAAATTTGTTTAATTGAAAAAATGGGTTGGTAAGTCCCAAGAAGAAAACAATAGTTATATAAATTACTATGTTGGGAACATTAATAAAGCCTGTGTAAGAATGAACAAAAGTCACAAGATTCATTCAAATCAAAATAAAATGCAGTAATGAAAAAACTTTGCATGTTTAGCGCAGCCACCTATAACAAATACATGTTCATATTTAGAATTTATGTTAATACGAATAGAACATATATAGCTCCTCTACCTTATTTTAAGCCGAACTATTTTTCAACCAATTTTATCAAATATCCCATATTGTCTTTGGAAAGGAAGGATCTTTTTCTACGCTGAATTCGATCGAATGTGCCAAAACGTTAAGTCCTAATTCCATTCTGGGCCGAATATCATCAATTCCAAGTTTGACCAGAGCACCAAAGACAGACATGGGTAGCTTGAATCCTTAAAACTGATTTTGTCCAAAATGGACTATAGTATAAAGCCGCTATTTCGACGTTGATCTATTAAATGATATATACCCTCTGGTATGATAAGTTTGAGGGTTTAAAAACAACAAAAAACTGGATAGAACTTAACTGTTTTGATATAACGTTGGTATACCAAATAAACGACATCACTGTCTTGATCGTTTGCGTATTAAAAGCTACATTTAATTAGACCCAGGGACATAAATTGGAACTTAAAAATGGTAGCAATAATAATGACATGAGATATTTTAATGTAAAGTGATGAATTGGAAATATATTTTACGTGTGTATTTATTTGTATGTTTCGTATTGTTTTAAGTTGTTTTTTTTCAGTGTACATGTATCTAAAGGAAAATGTATTTTTTTTAATTTCTTTAATTTTTCTAACGTAGAGCGATTTCAAGAGCAATTTAGATAAAATGTATAATTTCAAGTTGTAAACATACAGAAATTCATGTAATAAGAAGCATACAGAGTTGGTTATATACAGAATAGATATAAAAAAAATATTACACATTTGATGCTAGCTGAAAAGACTAGCATTGTTTGCCTTAGTTCCATCTGGTCATATACATCAAAGTAATCACGCTGTTCTCTTATGTTTAGCTGTGCCTTCTGAAACATCTTTTACCATTCCTGCAGTATGATTTCTGTGCTAGCATTAGACATTTCAGTCTCACTTTCTTCTTGATATTGAATGTTTTCTACAGCTCTTTGACACAACCAGAATATTAGCTTACTTCGAAGGACATGACAAAAATTCAACTATTTACTAGAGTCTTATTGTATCAAATATAAAGGTGGCGCAAAAATAACCCCTTTTATCAGAAAATGATAGGAGGATTACTTTTCTGCAGAGAATATTGCTGATGTAGCCATGTCATGGACGTGCCACGCAAATGGGTAACAGTCGACAGACTTTACAGCGA